AAAAGTTATTTTGAAGCTGGCAATCTGCCTTTTTTGCTAGGTAAGCATCCTCTTTTTATTATTTCTTTCACTCTGCTTTTAGCAGCTGTAATTTTTACTGAGATATTTAAATGCTCTTCTACTCTTTAAGTATTGTTTCTCTTCTTTAGTAAGCTGTTAACTAATCTTTTCTTACTTTTTTAAAGCTTTAGTAAGTTATATAGCTTCATCTTTTTATTTCTAAAGATTATAAGCCTATTAGATCTTATTAAAAAAATAAAATATTATATTATTATCCTCAAGAGCTGTTAGCTAAAATTATAAAGATTTTTTATATTAATACTTCTTCTTCTTATTTTAAAAGGCTATTTCAAGGTTTTAGCAATATAATTTAAGGATTATATTCTTTATAGAAAGGTGATACATTGTGGCACTTAACTTTTAGTATTTTTATTATATATATTAATAATAATATGATTTAGAAGCTTTTTAATCTTCCTCTAGTCCTCCACCTGCAGGACCAAGTATATGAAGTCACTTAAAGATAGCTAAAAGTCTTTATTCTTAATAAATTTTATTAAAATAATCTTTAGATTTAGCAGTGATGTCCCTACAATTTTAAATAAAAAAAAGATATTCTTTAATAATAAGTCTTACTCTTAGGCTAGCTAAAAAAGGTAAAAGAAGCCTTATTTAGTAATATAAGTAAGACTTATTAATTTATATAAAAAGTTTTTAAGATTCTTACTGTAAGCAATAGAAAAAAGGCTAAAAATCTTAATATTAAATAAGCTATAGTAAATAAGTTAAATAAGATAAATAAATTATTAAAAAGATCTTATTATTATTGCAGTATTTAATAAATTTTATTATAATATATAAGATTTATAGCTATTAATGATTGGAAGCCTCTATCACCTCTATATCTTATTTTTAGTTTTATAATCAAATATATCTGTTAACCACCTGTATCTAAAGTTGTCATTGGTCTAATTGCTAAGTAAGGAGGTAAAGAAGCAAATATAGAACTTAAGATCAAAATCTTAAAATTAGGAATCCTATATATTCCCACTAATAATTTAATAAATAAGGCTTAGTGAGAAGGCAGTTCTGTTAATATAAATATAAGTAATTAAAGTTATCTACATGTGATTATCATTCTGTAGGTGTTGCTTGAGACTACTAGTTATATATTTCTGCTTTGAGAAGATCCTAAGGCCTTTGACTAATATCTTAATAAGAAAACCCTTCTCATCTATATTATAGATATCCTCTATCCATAACTTATATTCTTTCACCTTTCAGCTTAACAGCTCAAAATATAAAGTGTATTTATATATAAAATTAGCTTATTTTTACACAGCATTAATTACAGTTGTGTAAATTAAAATAAGATTATCTTAATAGTACTTAATAAAGTGCCTAAGTCAATATATTCTAGGCTTCATACTAGTAATTTCCTTTGCAAAATTATAAAATGTAGAAAGGCTTCTTTCAGTAAGCTTATTGATATAGCTTATTAGTTATTTTTCATGGTGGGTGGTAAGAACTCATTGCTGCTTATATTGGTGGTCCCTCATGCCCTGTACCCTGCAGTGGTGCCTTGATAATATTAATTAGCTAATGCTAAATTCTTTTGCAATTTTAATATAATTAATTGAATCACCTGGTTCTAGTGATTTGATTGCTTGTATCACAAGCTCAGTTGAAGACATATTGGTTAAGATATAAGAGGTTGAAGTTGAGTCAAAAAATAGTCGGTGAGGGGAAATCGGGCGGCAGCTAGTACCAGGCGTCAGGTGATCACCCACTGTAGGTGATGATGATGATGACTTCCATTTCAGAGACCATTTTTCAGTCTAAGACTATGCATGGTCTACCCTCTTCTAAAGGAGGATTTGGATCAGCTAGCTAAAGACATAAATAGGCTTTACTATATAAGAGTCAGATAATAAGGGTCACAGAGGCAGTATAATAAAGATACATAATAAAGATTATGAGATAAGGATAAGAATAGAGTGGTGTAATATTTTGTAGATAGTAAAAAGGTATAAAGAATGGAAAGATAGAAATACATAGACAATTATGACTGATGATAAAGTTAGTGAAATAAAGGAATATATATAGATATAAGAAAAAAAGAGATAAAGAAAATGGTATGGAGAATATATTAGACCTAATTCCTTAGTCCTAGAAAAAATATATATTTTTTAATTTTAGATAATCTAAAGGCCACTTTTGAATGGCAATATTTGTTTAAAAAGGCTAGAAATGCTTCTTGCCTTAGTCTATTAGTAAAAAGATAGAATAAGGATCTATCCCTAAAAGAAAGCTGATTTATAATATCATCTCTTTCCTGATTATAAGCTGAGCAGTCCTCAGTATTATAGTCTGATAGCCTGACTAGGTAGGACCTAAAATACCCATACTCTAACTTTAACTATATGAGGGAGGACCAGAGCTGTTTAAGGGGTCTTGGAGGGCTTAGATTCTATTTAGGTTGGCTCTTAAATTGAGAATAATACCTACTAGCTTAGGTCTTAGCTAGATTTCAGAATATCTACTATTCAGCTAGGGTCCTAGCTTTAAGAACCCTTTTTATAAAGCTATATAAGATAGGGGCCTGTAGAATAAGGTCTAGCCAGTCAGCTCTATATTTAGCTGCGTCATCAGTTTTTTCATTATTATAAATACTTGATGACCAAGGACCCAGTGAAGATGAAAAGATAGCAAAGGGTAGGTGTTGAGTAGATCTAAGATAGACCTAGAGATAGTTACTACCTTAATCAGGTAATTTTGAGTTTTTTGATGTCTCTAAATAGCTGCCTAATTATTTGAAAAGACCTATATCCTTCTAATAGTAGGGATATAGGTTAGTCTAGTTCTAGCTAGCTGGACTATTTAATAGATAGTATAAAGCTCTGTATTAAAGACCTCACATTCCTTTCTTAGATTATATATCTGGGATTCTTACATAGTAAAAGAGGCATCAGAGATGAAGATGCCAGCATTACTAGATCTCCTACTAGATTAGGAGCCATCTTGATAGATAATGGGCTTGTCATCTACCTTATCCTAGACCCAGTTATGGAGAAGTGCTTGATGGTCCAGGGCTGCTTGCTCTTTATATTTAGAGGAGATGACTATCTTTACCCTATCTATCTCCTAGTCCTTCTGGCCATGGTGGGGGTTTTGTAGTGAAGGTATCTGGGTGCCCCTGCCATTCCTGGAATGGATAATGAGAGAGTAGCCTGATTAACTGGCTAGGATAGGCCCTTCTAAGCTGCCTACCCTCTCCAGGATAATAATTTGACCTTAAGGGGCTAGGGGCCTGGGAAGGAAAAGTATATATCCTTGATTTGCAAAACTATATGCATTTTAAAAAAACTTCTAAAGTGTTTTAGAATTAAACCTATTTGCTGTCTACTTATTCTCGCTTAGGTTAATATGGTAATCTTATGGAATTGGGAAATACTATTAAGGTTGATTTTTTTAGCCAAAATAATCTATGAAGATAAAGCTTATTTAGTGGGATTGATACTGACAATTAAAATTATATATTCTTTATTTTTAGATTATAATTTTTCTGCTTTACTTTCTCTTATTTTTAAGCTATAGATAACTTTTTCAGTTAATATAACATCTATTTAAAATATAGTCTTATCCATATTATAGGTGTCTTTATATAGAATCTTATATTTCTGCTAGATATTAGTAGAAAGCTCAAACTAAATTTAAATAAACTCTGGATCTCCACATCTTGCATATTAATAATTATATTTTTAAAATATACTTAGACTGAAGCTCTGGATAGTATTTAACAAATTAGTTCACCTATTTCTTACTAAGGGAGACAGAGGCAAGAGGTAGAGGCAAATATCTTTGGTAGTGAAAGATAGTTATATAAACAATAACAATCTTACTAAATATTAGACAGTTGCAATTCTTGGAGGTAAGCCACATTGATGTATATCAAGGATCCATGATGAAAGAGTAGATTCTCCAATTATTGGTAGTTTTTTTTCTGCAGCTTACTATATAAAATCTGCATAAACAAAGACTCTTTTTAACAGTCTTCAGTTAATTTTTATATCAACATCAGATGCAGCTGCAACCTTTGGGATAGATAGATATTGACCATTTTTGAATGCATTAAGAGCTAAGAGAATTCGCCTTTCATAATAGGCTGCTCAGCCTATAATAGAGAAAGGAATGCCACTATTCATCAGATTCCCCTAAAGGACAGATCTCTATACTATCTCTTTACTCAGAAAAAGGGGCAAGAAGCCCTCTTAGCATTCTTAAAATTACAAAGATTGCTACTAGAGGATGGCTTTTAAGGACTTAAGAGAAAATTCCTATTTGCTTCTTTTCTTCCTCCAGAGTCTCTCTTCTAAAGTTCTCACTTTAGTGTCTTTCCCCATATATTTCATATGAGAAAAGAAACATACCAAAGAACTATAAGAGGATATATAGGATAAAGTCAGGGCTAATAAAAGAGCTCTCTCTATGCCTCTCTATTCTCTTTGGATAATATCTCTTCTCTGGGAAAAGAGAAAAAAAAAAAAAAAAAAAAACTCTACTTTGGGGTCTAGAGTTTAGTTCTGTTTTTATGCTATCCCACTATCACTATCACTTACTCTATTTCATTAGGTTATCTCTCCTTATTAGGTCTTCTTGTTTCATTTTTCATTTCTTCTGCACCACTGCCCCTATCCCTATCATTCACTATATTATTTCATTTCTCTATACATCTCCCCTATTTCACTGTCTGTGTGACCCTTATTATGTGACTCATAAATTGCAAAGCACATTCTTGTGATTAACTAGCCGATCCAAATCCTCCCCCCATAGTAGACCATGCATGGTCTCAGACTGAAAAATGGTCTCAAAAATGGAAGTCTACTACTACTACTACTTAGCCTTTCATAAGATTTATCTTCCACGGCAATGGTGTGGGTGGTAGATGTAATTGATAGAATTATGGTAGCTATTGTGGAAAAAAAGGGACGGACTCTTGGTGTCCGATTACGTTAATTATAATAGATTGCCTAACCAAGATAAGATGTCCAACCATTGTTATCCATATCAGGTGAGTAGTAGTCTTAAGAATAGCTAGACCATAAGAGGCATAGCTATAAATTGCTAAAACCACAGCAACTACTATTATATTCACCCCCCCCAATACACATTACAAACTCACCATCCTAATCATACCCCAACTTGAGTACAGCAATGGCACCATATTGAAAGCTGCTGATAAAGGAAGAGTCAAGCCTCCTTGATAGTATGTTTATATTATGTTCCATGTCCTGGAAAAGCAGGTGAACCATGGACAATCTTCAAAAGTTGAAGCAGTTCTCTGGTGAAAACACCTAAGCCCAAATGGTATAAAGTCCAAGCTCCGGATGGGCCAATGAACAATCCCAAGATAAGGCCAGCATCATCGAGGGCTAGTCTGTCTGCCATCCACACAAGCAACTTCCATACAGGTCTGCTGAGGTGGATTAATCATACCCACCAGAGGAGCTGGTGCGAAGAGGGTTCGATAAACCAATCATCCAATATAGGATGTCCACGTTCCAGCATACAAGCTCAGGCTGGATTCGGAAATTGACTACCGACTTGCATATGACTGTCCAACGTAAACATTAAGAACTCAGTCATCAGGGTATTCATCTCTCATATTGCTGACAAATGTCCGTGTCACCCCATCCCATCTCTTAAAATGCTTGCCCGCTATCGCTAGGAGTGCCCTCGGCAGCTCAGATACATGGGGTGTGATAATCTCAATGTTTTCCTCTGCTACATATCGAACGCTCTTATCCTCAACTCTAGGGGTAGACAGAAGAGTCAGCATGAAGACCAAAGCCCGATTAAAATGTCGAGACGTACAGAACATGATAAAAACTTTGATGACTGCTGGCTTGCAATTGGTCAATGTTCATCGTTCTCATCCATTGCTCACTGGCACCACACTCTGCATCCCAGCCTGTAATGATGGCCCTATAACCATAGCGACGGTGCTGGAACACCTGACCTATGCGGTATAATACAGTCTTATTTCGAACAGTCCGCCGTCGCACCTGCTTTGGTAACCCGTCGACTGCCTGCATCACGTGAAGACCATCTAGAATATCATCATATTCTAGCATTCCCTGGAAGAGAGGGAGAATATGCTTCTCTATAAGGTAGACGTCTGAAGGGAATTCAGTAACGACTATTTCCATCAGCCAAGGCAAATAATTTCGAAGGTCCATTGGTCGAGATGCTCCTGTGAAAAGCATAGACGACCAGAAAGCTGCATATCGAGCACTGGCCACATCTACTGGAACCAAGTGCGGATTAGGAAGTTGAGATATCTGTTCGACAGAGTTCAAAATATTTTTGCCGCACCGCAGAACGATTTCCGAGGTCAGGGACTCGCCAAGGAAATTGGCCTTTTCGACGCTTGACGCACCTAAGAAGTTCAGTTGGTTTTCCAGATCTGAAATAGGTGTCTCCCTATCAGAGCGAAACGGATCCATGTACAGTGGTTGCCCGAGAATCCCATCCTCTAGTTTGTTACCATCCATGTCTAACCCCGAAGGGGGTATGACTATGACATGGACGTGGAAGGGAAAACCACAAGGACGCGCGTTCAAACCAAGATTCTGCGCAACATAGCAATAAATGGCCGCCGATATCAAGGGGAGAGAATTATGCCCAGGGTCGCTCAGTGCAAACCCCAAAAAATTATGCTCTAGGCAATGATAGTCTCGCCCTGATTCAATGCCAGTCAAGTTGTTCTCCCTAAGAAATGAAGCGACAAGAAGTGCCTTGACGCGAGGTGTGAGTAGCTCAATGTCAGGATTGCAAGCTAGAAGCTCTGTAACAATCCCACGAAGCTTAGCACTAATCTGTACACAGTTAGAACAGAAATTGCCAAATACCCTCACTCAGTGACCCTCATACCTCATTCGAATCACCATAACCACTCTCAGGAATGAAGAGATCAAAAGCACCCAGTGCCTGTTCAAGAGAGACATGCTCTCCATTAACCAGACTAGACCATTCTGATACCGCAATGCTTCTGTGAAGGCAAGAAAGGACCGATTTAGCGTAATATCTTTAAGTACAGAAGCTTGAGTGTCAGGAGTGTCTAGATGAAGCAGTCCAGAAGTGGGGCAAACCTTCGCGCCAGATGGTCCTCCATCGAGGATTCTGCTAGGCTGTGCCGAACGAGGGTGTCCTTCACATCATATCCAAAGCTGATTATAGTATGGAATTTCTCGATTCGTCCAGTTTGACTCGCAAGAATGCTATCCAAAACATGAGTCACTGCACGGTCCACGAGACACCTGGTAATGTAAAGCTCCTTCCAATCTACCGACCAGACCGATTCGGTGAGTTTTGAGGGCATATCATGCTTTCTGTCCCAAAATTTAAAATAGGTCTGACAGTAGAAACGCCACAGCAAGGGTTCATTAGTTACATGCCTGAATCTCCGAGATACTTGCTCCAAGGAGGCTGCAGAGCAAGGGGAACAGAAGCATAGAATAGAATGAAGAATTTCATCAGGAAGAATATCAAGAGATAGAGACATCCCTAGTAAGACAGCAGGAGCAGAATAATAGCAGAAGCAAGGTTCGGTTCATTATTAAGAGTACCTAGAAGTATACTGGCACCAATAAAGCCGAATCTTCGGGCATTGATAGGGTTACATACTATGCGTACTATGTATATGTAGTACTCCGTACCTGTACAATGCAGTGACGCTATCCATGCACCAGATACATGGGTAGTGTACAGAGGGACGATAAAACACAGATTAGATGGAATTATTCAATACTGGCGAAACGACCTCGTTCATGACTTAGTTCTTAAGGCACTTTCTGCTTTGCGCCTACAGTACTGTATATATTACCCTATGCTATCCCAAGAGTCAAGTTAAGACGCTAACATGATTACAGCATCAAAATAGTACTCAAAGTTGCAATCTTACATGGGGTGGACTGACTAGTGGCTTGAGCTTGGCTTTCAGAAAAAGGAATCAATGGGGCAGAGTCAGTCTACAGGCAGCCGTCAAGACCATGACGATACGCAAACGGAAGTTGACTTCTATGAGCTTCTTGGTGTGAATGCAGAAGCCTCTGGTGAAGAGTAAATTAAATCCTTTTCTTGCGTATTGGTTGAGCTAATTTATTAATATCTATTTCCCCTGGTAACAGGATCAAGAAAGCATATAGAAGAAAAGCATTGGAGCTTCACCCTGATAGAAACTATGGAAATGCCGAAGCAGCTACGAAGTTGTTCTCGGAAGTCCAATCTGCGTACGAAATACTATCAGATCCACAGGAAAGAGCGTGGTACGACTCTCACCGTGATGCATTTTCGAGGATTAATGGAACGGCCCGGGGGGACAAGTCCTCATACAACTCCCAAACTACCACAGCCAGCGATATATTGAAGCTTTTCTCTAAGTTCACTCCTCGAATGGAGTTCTCGGATGCCCCGACAGGCTTTTATGGTGGTCTCCGTGAGACCTTCTCACGGCTTGCTCATGAAGAAAAGCTGGCGTGTCAGCGGGAAAACCTGGAATATACAGATTATCCAACATTTGGGGGTTCTAATGACGACTTTGAGGACATCGTACGTCCTTTTTATGCAACTTGGAGCGATTTTTCCACCAAAAAGACGTTTTCATGGAGAGATGCCTATCGATACTCTGAAGCTCCCGATCGCCGTATTCGTAGGGTGATGGAGAGAGAAAATAAGCGCTTGAGGGAGGAAGGAATTCGTGAGTTTAATGATGCTGTTAGGTCGCTTGTAGCCTTCGTCAAAAAGCGAGATCCTCGATACAAAATGTGCACTCGGAGCGAAGCGCAGCGACAGGAAACACTTCGCCGATCAGCAGCTGCGCAAGCGGCTAGGTCTCGCGCCAGCAACCAGGCGAAGCTACGTGAGCATGTTGTTCCATACTGGGTTAAATCGGAAGAACTGGAGAATGATGAACAGACAAGCTCGGAAAGTGAGATGGAGAGTTTCGAATGCGTTGTGTGCCGCAAGAATTTTAAAAGTCAAAACCAATTCGAGGCTCACGAACGTAGCAAGAAGCATAAGAAAGCTGTCAAGCAGCTCTGCTGGGAAATGAAAATGGAAGATAGGCAGTTGGATTTGGAAGAAAGCTATGAACAAGGCAATATGAAAGGATTTCCTGGACTTAAGGAACGTCCCAAACAAGAAGACTGTCGCGGTCAGGCGGCCGCCTCTCAATCTGAGGACAGTGATGGCATATCAAAGCCAGCTATCGAAAGCTTTACTAGCGGTATTCCACCCGTTTCTGAACCCGATGTACTCGCCACGGGCATTTCTGGAGTTAAGACGAATACAGCTTCAGATAACAGTTCTCCACCACTCCAAGAACAAAGAAACCGTGCTTTTATTCCCCAGGATGATGTTGACTATGCTTCAAGGGATTCTGTTGAACATCGGTTTAATTCAGAATTGCTTCCTATCCAGGGAGACAACGGAGATGAATTATATACTTCTTTCCAGCAACTGTCGACCTCAGAACTAGAGCAAGGCCCTCGAATGCCCACCCTTGCTATGGGGAAGGCAAAAGAGAAACGAGCCAGGAAAGCCGCACGAAAAGCAATGGTACAGTCTGCAGAATTGACATGTTTGTTCTGTCATGAGTCGTTTCCCTCCAAAAACCAACTGTTTCGCCATCTAAGAGACCTTGATCATGCAAGGTCGCCATTCAACCCTTCAGCAGGTAGAGAGAGAACAAGGTCCAATAGATAAGTACCCCAATGGATTATTCGTGGGCTATATGGCAATAAACGGAACTTAAGTTTGTAAGTGACAAATGTCAAGCAGATAATGTATGTAAATATCGTAAAGTAGTAAATGATCTGCACAGGGTCAAACTTATATGGGTCATATGGGCTTCTTTAAACATCTAAATCATCAGTAGATGAAATATTCCAAAATTCCCAGAATGTGGGGTTTTATTTTTATTTGATTTAATTTCTTTTGGAAAGGAAGAACAGGCCAAGACTCTGCTATGGTCTCATCCCAAACCTATCCTGGTGTTTTTCACCACATGCGCCACAGGCTGTAGGATGCCTTTATTGTTAATGGCACCAAGAGCAGTTCCTGTACTCCAGCCCATTTTCTCCAGCATTGCACGCCCTTTATTTTCTGCGCCAATTTCTGGAGCAGATGCACCGACGATATCACCATCTGTATATGAAACGGATGCTCCGGGATGACCACCACGACCACCACGAGCCTTGACAGACTTGCTTGAGGTCTGGTTTTCCCATGACTTGGCAGCATGACGAATGAACTTCGACCCTGAAAATATTTTCTCAATATGCGATACTGTTTTTGAAGTATACTTGGGAGTGCGAGCCGTTCTGTAAAGAACCGGAAACCTAGAACGCCCATTTCCACGTGATTGCGATTTGAGGGACAAGGCATTTGCTAAATCATGGACTAGTTTTCTGCGTTGCTTATCCATGGGAGGCAGGGTCAAACTGGGAGAGGTCAGCGTGATCAATTGGCCTATCGCGCCCTGTTGTGGACTTGCCTATCTTTTGATGATAGAAGGAACACCCGTAATTCTAACTTCAAGTCTTCAACCCTCATGCCATCGGGGTATTTAGACTTGAGGTCTGGATTGGAGCACCTTCGGCCTAGCAGCCCTTGCAAGCGAAGCTCGTTCCTCTCCTTTTTCTTGGACCTTTTCTTGTTGCGATCATTTTGCCATGCCTTCTTCAATTCCAATTCTAGCTCGCTGTCGGAAATAGCGAAGTCAGATGGAGACTCCTTCCCCTTGGTTTTCTTTCGAAGACTAGCTCGGTTAAAGTCCATGATATCGAGCCCATAGTAAGGGTCGCATTCCAGCGCGTCTGCGAAAGACAACGCTGATGAATAAGTTCCATTCCGCAATTTCCATGACTTGCCACGGGCTTGTCTGCGGCGATCCGAAGATTCCGCTTTCTCTTCGCATTCCGAATCCCCCAGATTCTGTAAATCTACTTCGATATTGGAGAGAAAAATATCATCGAAGTCTGTAGTCGAATCCAAGTAGTTATCGAGCTCGCCCAGCTGGCTTGTCCAATCTCCACAGGATCCGTTGTATGGCTGATCGGTTTGCTGCTCGGTATTGTTTACCTGTATCGAGTCAGGATAATCCGCATTCGAAGAATCACCAGAGGTTAGCGGCAGTGACCGTGTCTCAGGTTGCCTGGCCTTGGCATCCTCCGACTCCGCGAATTTCACGGATAGGGTGGCATATTCCGTATAGTCCTTGTCGATATTCTCTATATAGTCAGCCAAGATATCAACATCATCTCCAGACAGGATACTTTGCTTTCGTCTACCGATAGAGGTCGGTCGAAAAACTATATAATCCGCATCAGCCTTATCTTCATCGTCATTCATGGATGTCGAGTGGCTCAATTGTGACCGAAGATTTGACATATGAAGATTGGATGACGGCGAGCCAGTTGTGTCTGCGACATCGAGGCAAGACCTTGCAGGACCCTCGGGTCCTGCTCCTGTTCCCGATTTTAGGTCCCGGTGGTGGTTAAGAGCACTCATCGATTCACGTCCGACTGGCTTGGACTGTCCACGAAAGAAAGGCGTGGAATTTTTATGTTGATTCCGTCCTTGAAACAATATTATTTCGTCATCGCTGGACTCTTCAATACTAGGCGAGCATAACCGAGAAGCAGGGCCTGGTATTTTGGGTTGTGTGCCATTCTCGGCTGATACGTCAGGAGAAAGAGGGTTGTCAGACACGTCTTCCCTATCCACGGTGTCTCTCTCTTTGCACATCACATTCCGCTGCTCGCAGCTGTCATTGGGTTTATCTGAAGGCAGACGGTTCGCACCAACGAATTTGATAGCTTTATGTCGAAGCTGGGATGTTGACCAGTTTCGATTACGCCCTTCAGTGTTCCGCGCTTCTTGCTGCATTGTAAATTCATATGCATCTGGTCCTATGGGGACGATCAGCAGCTGGTATTGGGCAGACATCCTTGGAGAGGCGTTTACCTATATTGGCTTTCAAATTAACCTGCCGTCTGGGGCGCGCCTTGGTCTTGCTGGAACGACCCATAATAGACGGGTTTCTCGCGCTCGTTCGCAAAAGCGTTCAGTGGCGAAAGTCTGGAAGGAAAGAACGCAGAAGGCAGTCTGGGGATTTTAATATAATTTTTTCCTTTTATCAGATGTTGTTGAGGATTCACATCAGTCTCTCTCGAACCTCAGCGTGATGACTGTTTTCCTAGGAAGTGGTTTTAAGACTTGATGCCTCCACTCTTGTCTTCAGGCGGGCGGTGAAGCCAATGGCGTATCCATCGTCGGAGACATCGGGTTGTGGCGTGCACTGGCAGTCATAAGGGTGGATTCTCTTCCAATACGCATTCTATAGGATAGCAGTACTAAGTCTCAAGTGCATTAACTCTGCTTTTATATCAATAATGCTACTAGTACAGTGTAGGGTGATTATGGAGAATGGTATTTGCCTGGGTTGCCGATTTCAGTGAAGCGTGATAGGGTGGATGACGTCTAGGCTGCCCCTATGTTCAGACCATCCTCTCGGCATCTCTTTATGTTTCCTGACCCTCTTCTTGGTTAATACTTTCCTGCTTGTTCTGGATTGTCTTTGGAAGATATTTTCTCGTCTGGGCCTAAGCTGACCGATTCAATAAAATACCAATACTCTATGTCATATCTCTTCTCTACATGATATATATGTAGAGTCCCCTCTATGTATGGGTGCATATATACACCCATTCTCTGAGATGCAGTAATACATCAACATACCTTGCAGATACAATACATCTGGAATATCAGCCAACGAAGGACACGCAGACATGAACAACATCAACGTACAAAAGTACAAACACATTGTGCAGTACTTTTGGGACCCCGAACCTAGGAACGATCAAGAGCCAGACGCACCCATCTGGTGTCTGGGCAGGGAATATAGCCGTAATTTCCCACCCTACACCATTAAAGGTCCAGCAGGTACGCTAGACAAAAAATTACTAAATACTGTCATCCAAGACTCATGGATTTACAGGGTCTCAGGAATCAATGCGTTGTGCAGATAACGAGCTTCGCGAGCCAGACACTTCTACTGCTCCTCCAGTACATGGCCTGAGTGCACACGGCTGGCCAGAGGCATTCCTTGATGACTTCGAATCAAAGATATGGGTCACTTACCGATCAAATTTTGCCACCATATTGAAGTCTGAGGAACCCGATGCAACGTCCACGATGACCCTAGGTGTGCGACTGCGGAACCAATTCATGGACTCACAGGGATTTACGTCTGACACAGGATGGGGTTGTATGATAAGATCGGGCCAGAGTCTCCTGGCCAATACTCTGTCTATCTTGCTTCTGGGTCGCGGTATCAGATGCCCCCCCGATATTAATCAGAAGTACTTTACTAAGTCACATCCAGATTGGCGTCGAGGAAGTAAAGTCGAAGAAGAAGCGAAACTTTTGTCACTATTCGCTGATTACCCGGATGCCCCATTCTCAATACATCGTTTTGTGAAACACGGTTCTGAGTCTTGTGGTAAATACCCTGGGGAATGGTTTGGACCATCAGCAACCGCTAGATGTATTGAGTACGTACCGCGATCCGCTCCCCTGGATGGACCGAGCTTACGAACGAGGCAGAGCACTCTCAATCGAATGTGAAAACCCCATGCTAAGGGTATATGTCACTAATGACAACTCGGATGTTTACGAAGATAGGTTCTTGCAGATCGCTCGCAGTGACTCAGGACGCGTGAACCCTACTCTAATTCTCATCGGTACTAGGCTGGGGATTGATCACATCACGCCTCTATACTGGGATGCGCTAAAAGCTACTCTACAGTACCCCCAGTCAGTTGGCATAGCTGGGTAGGTAGCATATCAGCGTTCCCCCCTATCATAGAACTATTCAATCCTACGTCGGACTAAATCACTCATATGACAGAGGCCGTCCATCAGCATCCCACTACTTTGTTGGGGCTCAAGGCTCATTTTTCTTTTATCTCGACCCCCATCACACTCGTCCTGCCCTGTGTTATACCCCTGACGAACCTTACTCCAAGGAACAAGTCGATTCGTACCATACTCGTCGAGTAAGGAGAATCCATATCAAGGATATGGATCCAAGCATGTTGATCGGCTTCCTTATCAAAGATGAAGACGATTGGACCGACTGGAAACGACGTATCATATCAACGGAGGGAAAACCAATTGTGCATGTCCTTGGTGGCGAGATGCAGCCCGATTTTGGTCAAGGCCGGAAGGAGGCGCTCGACGAAGTTGAAGCGCTGGATGACTTTGAAGATGGCTTGGAATAGCTCCACTTTTACGATTGTTGTTCAGAAGCTTTAGACAAGTTCTTAATACTTCATCTGGGACAGCTCTTCTAACATTAGAAGAGCTGAATAGCTCGAACTGCTGGAAGTATCTTGGTATTTCGAGGTGGAATTTAATAAACCCCAGGTTCAAGCTATGTTACATCGCGTAACCCGAATCGCAACCGTAAAGACCTCTGCCCAAAGAAAATATGGAGGGAAAAAAGCAGAAAACGAAGCCATCCCATGACACATTAGAATCCCGAGAACACCCAGTAACCCACACCTCAGTCATTACCGATGAGGCAACAAAAATAAACAATCCTTATAAAAAAAAAAGCAAAAACGTGACTTATTTGGCAGAGGACGAATACTTTGTAACGGCCTTGGTGCCTTCCGATACAGCGTGCTTTGCGAGTTCTCCAGGGAGGATAAGCCGCACACTAACATAATATTAGTATTCTTCATAACATGGAAATAAAGGGGCCAAACTCACGAAGTCTGGATCTCTCGCGATGAGATAGTTGATTTCTTGTTATAGGCAGCAAGCTTAGAGGCCTCGGTTGCGACACGTTCAAAGATATCTTCAAGATAATTAGAACGGATGATAAAACTAACATATTAGAATTCACGTACCATTAACGAAGGAGTTGAGGATCGACATAGCACGAGTAGAGATACCAGTGTCAGGGTGGACTTGCTTGAGGACTATTGGACGCGTCAGTATTTTTACTGAATTACAACACGAAAGCATGACTACATACCCTTGTAGATGTAGGAAGAATAAGTCTCCTTCCTCGTCTTGCCTCGCTTCTTCTTCTCGCCAGTGGCAGTTGCAGTCTTCTTCCCGGCTTCCTTCTTCTCAGCGGGAGCCTTGCCAGCAGGGGCCTTGCCACCAGTGCTAGGCTTCTTCTCAGCGGCTTTGGGAGGCATTTTCGGTTAAGCTGGTTTTCCGCTTGTTTAGATGTGTGAAACGAGAACGGTTGGTTCGGTATAGAACTTTATGTGAGCGTGGTTATATTGGAAGAGATAGGGATGAGGAAAGCAGGGTGTCAGGACGCGGTGATGAGGGGAGTCGTGGTACTTATACTAGCAGCAAAAGCGCAGGTGATCCTAGAAAGCAAAGGAGGCAGAATTTCAATACGGTCACAGTTCTGTATGATCTGTATGATTAGCGAGAGGGAGACGCGTCAAATTGCTGTGAAAACGCCCAAAGTCGCGCTAAGGATGGCGTATTGTAAAATACCAGAATATATTACAACACTTAGCCTGATTCGGTATACAACCTCCGGTGGACCAACTAATCAAGTAACAGAAGCATCGGCCCATGATCTCTACTATGATTGGTTGACCCCACTAAGCGAGAGGGTGATCTAAAGGACATCTGGGCAACGCCAACGTCACCCGCTCTGTACTCTTATAAATTCCCCTCGCTCCCTTTTATCTACAAACATTTTGGAACTTCCTATCATCCACCACACATTCTGCCTTCATCTGTCTCGACGCCTGCCTATCAACATTTCGATCTTTTCTCAAATCCACTCTTAAGCGTCACATCGAAACCAAAATGACCGGAGGCAAGTCTGGAGGCAAGGCCAGCGGCACCAAGAACGCGCAATCGTACGAAAATACTCCCGTCCACACTGCATACTTTTTTTAAACTAACCTTGAATCAAGGCGCTCATCCAAGGCTGGTCTCGCCTTCCCAGTGGGTCGTGTTCACCGTTTGCTCCGCAAAGGAAACTACGCCCAACGCGTTGGTGCTGGTAAGATACTCCGATGTACTAATCTGGTCTATGATTCTAATTTGGTCAGGTGCTCCTGTTTATCTCGCTGCTGTGCTCGAATACCTTGCTGCTGAAATCCTCGAATTAGCTGGTAACGCTGCTCGCGACAACAAGAAGACGCGTATCATCCCTCGCCATCTCCAACTTGCCATCCGCAACGATGAGGAGTTGAACAAGCTTCTGGGTCACGTCACCATAGCACAGGGTGGTGTTCTGCCTAATATCCACCAAAGTAAGCCAATATATCTCATAATCCAAGATTCGTTATTAACGCTTTTCCAGACCTCCTTCCGAAGAAGACTCCGAAGAGCGGAAAGGGTCCTAGCCAGGAACTTTAGGCTCAGTGTTTTATTTCTTTCATTTTATGGGGGTTTTTTTTTCGGCGCTGTTTGGTTCACTTATTGACGCGATAATGGGGTTCTGGGCTGGACACGTTTATGGCTCTTTCTTTTACAGTTTGCCTTGAGGCTGTACATTATGTCTACGGACATGGAATGATAAGCATCGTTTGTCGAAGGACTGCTATTAAGCGTAGTAATAAATAGTTTTATAATGCTTTGAAAGCCAATTGACTGCGGAAATACTCGTCTTAGGCTAGCATTCCAATATTCTAATCCAGACCTTGATCCTTTCAAGCCTAAGTGCAATTTTGTGCGGGACAGGAACCGTGTCTGACCGGAATCGTTCGTAAATAGCCTGGCATCTTACCGATGATCACGGCTAGTGTGCCTGTACACCATGTTCGGAGGCATCTATGTAGAGTCCTCAGTTCCAACGAGATCATAGAAGCATAGGTTTAATATTAGAACGTACGAGGTAGTTGTCGACAAGGAAGGTTTCTCTCGTATTTAGATCCTTCAAAAAAGGTTAGTAGCTACATATGACTTTTGAATAGATCGCTCAAGACTTACCACCTGGGGCAGTAGGGGGTCGGTAAGCATCCGGGTGTTTCCAAGTTTCCAATAGCCGCTCTGTCTCTTGCAATAAAACCTGCCGATTGCGCTGTAAATCATCGACCCAGGAAACTGAATTCGCGAAACGCAAGCTTACCTTCTGCTGTCGAGGGTCACGAACATTCTTATTGGCATCAAACAATGATCGGATATACACCGCCTGTCCGCGCCAAATATACCTGTGGACAGCCCAATCAAGTGCCAATTTGAGTGACCGACGGTATAGAGACCTGAGTGTGTAATTGATTAGAGTACAATTGCTCCTTAATCAGAAGCTTGGGGGCATACGCAACGGTATTGATGGCCATGGTTACTTCAAGTGCTTGACCTTTTGAATAACAAAGCCTGGAAGTGGTAGTTAGACGGAAGGAGGTATTAATAAATCCAGGAAGCAGGTGGTACACACACGAGAGTAGCTGATTTGGACTTGTAACTAGAGTAGCAGTTTCACCGTCTGCGGCACTCGAGACTTAAAGAGTCGCGCTGAGTATCACAGTCGACTTGATTGGTATTAGGTAAGTAACTGCCAATCTGGTGCATTTCGACGGCCGAAAGCGATAGTACGGAAGAACGGTAATAATTGCCGGGCGCAAGCCCAGAGCCGTGGGATTCCGGTATTCTCGGGCCGCGCCCTTGAGCTCCTCTACCTAGCTTTGAGTTTCGTCACTGCAACACAACACGCGAAGAAAGAGTTTTCCTTTACTCCGTGCCATAAAACGAAGCACTTATTAAAACCTGGTCCCCTTCTTTAAAAAATATTATTATTGTTGCATTGCCTTCAATTGTCTTCACGTTGAATTGCATACTCTACGCTGCATTCCACTGCTACTAAAGCTACGAACGTCATGGCTTCTCGACTGCCCTTCTACCGGTTGTCGGAACAGCATTTGACAACCATGTCTAGAGTCTCCTACGGGTCTCGCATTCTACGCCTGAGCACTCGTAGGAACCTTTCTTCAATCTCCCTCCTAAAACGGAGCGGTGCTTATAAGGCCCCTATTTCCGGCCACATACAAGTGCCAGTATCATGGTAAGGCTGTACAAGGATCACCGTGTGTTCTGGTTACGAAATACTTGTTGACAATCTCGTGCCAACATTAGCACTCGATCGAATGTGCCGCTACTGGGGTTCTCTCAAGCCAGAGGCTATGGTATTCAAATAAGATGGCCCCCATTGTGAACCCACATACTAACTAAAAAGCAGCCGATACAATCGTCAAAGTACCTCAAATGGCTGAGTCCATTACGGAGGGTACATTGAAACAGTTTTCTAAACGTATGTTATTATAATATTTCTTTTTTTCTGTTAATCTACTCACAATGTTTCAGAGGTTGGGGATTTTGTAGAACGAGATGAGGAAATCGCAACGATTGAGACTGATAAGGTAAGAAAGTGAATATGCTTTTAAGGGCCCCCTTTTGCTTGTCGTTGTCCGAGGGTAGCGATGAATTGAATTGACCTTTCTTGACATCCCAGATCGATGTCTCAGTCAATGCGCCGGAGGCAGGAACTATCAAGGAGTTTCTTGTTAAGGAAGAAGATACCGTTACTGTCGGACAAGACCTAGTTAAGCTTGAGCTCGGGGGCGCACCCGAAACAAAGAAGGAAGAAGCTGCCGAAAAGCCCAAGGAACCCGCGAAAGTAGAGAAGCCACAGCCATCTGAACCGGAAAAGCCAAAGGCTCCGACAGCAGAAAAGGGCGCTACCCCTCGCCCCGAGCAAACAAAGGCTCCTTCACCTAAAGCAGAGCCACAGCCCGTGTCCGCTGCGCCGGCCGCTCCCGGAAGTCGTGAAGAACGGAGGGTTGGTTTTCGCCGTTCCTTTTTTAATTCCGACGCTTATCTCTCGTCATTCATATTCTTATTCTTGTTTTTAGGTGAAAATGAACCGGATGCGGTTGCGAATTGCGGAACGTCTGAAGCAATCTCAAAATACGGCTGCCTCACTCACTACTTTCAACGAGGTTGATATGTCTTCTCTTATGGAATTCCGGAAACTGTACAAAGAAGACGTACTCAAGAAGACTGGTGTAAAGCTCGGCTTCATGAGTGCATTCTCTCGCGCATGTGTTCTTGCCATGAGGGATATACCGGCGGTTAATGCGTCGATCGAAGGACCCAACGGCGGTGATACTATCGTCTACAGAGATTACGTGGATATTAGTGTGGCCGTTGCCACCGAGAAAGGGCTGGTAACACCAGTTGTTCGCAATGCTGAAGCAATGGATCTTGTTGGGATTGAGAGGTCTATTGCTGAACTCGGAAAGAAGGTGCCGAATTTTGTCTGCCTGTTCCTTTCGCCGAATGCTAATTCTATTAGGCCCGGGACAATAAGCTGACGATCGAGGATATGGCGGGTGGATCCTTTACCATTAGCAACGTAAGTGCAACCTCTCTATGTCGACGTATGTACGCTAAACTTTGATACAGGGCGGCGTCTTTGGATCTCTGATGGGCACACCGATAATAAATCTGCCACAGACAGGTAGGCCATAATTTAGCCCGACTTTCTCTCCTAGGTATCTCTGACTTTCGGCAGCCGTGCTCGGACTCCATGCAATTAAAGATAGGCCTGTGGCCGTCAATGGGAAAATAGAAATCCGACCGGTATGGGAATAAAGAATCTGATCTCAGTGGATAGATAGCTGATACCGGATACAGATGATGTACCTTGCTCTGACGTATGATCATCGACTCCTTGATGGGCGAGAGGCAGTCACCTTCCTTGTTAAGGTTTGTTGGGATATTAATCATATTACTGAGCCTACGACTGACAGTTTTACAGGTGAAAGAGTATATCGAGGACCCTCGACGCATGCTGTTGGGCTAGGTGAGTTAGGAATTGATATTGTTCCTCTCGGCTACGTTTGGGCGTCAGTGCAAGCCGACCCTTGTGTAATTATTAGACATTTTCCATCATACAAGAGTTCTTCTTTGGCTTTGGTAGCAGGTCGTTTTGCCATTAATCATAATCGTTCGCAATCGGGATGGTTTCGGTAACGGGGCCCGTCATTGACTATTATTGTCTAACCCCTTTACTCCAACCTCACTGTCTGGTATTACTCAGGTTAGCGGCTACACCGAGTTAGTTGCCCAGCCCTATTTGCTCAAAGTTTTAGTGTCCTGGTATTTAATGGCCACCGACGTTCCTGTAAAACAAGCTTGTTCTTCATTATTACCGGTAATTTGTCGAATATCATGTACAGCATACGGTGTAGATCAGAACGGACCGATTAGTTTTGGCATTGCCAAAATCTAATCGGCAACGCAGACTTTAATGGCAAAGGGGATACGAGCCAACGAAATCTAGGGAAGCACTGATTACTTTACTATATCACTGCTGTGACTTCCACTCCTCTGCTCTTCTTTTTTAGACTTGGTAGTATTAGGAGTATGTCACGTAAAAGTACAGGTCTATAAAAAAGTAGATGGATCAAAGTCCTGCTTGACCCTTAAACATTAATGTTTCTGCGTAGCTGAGTCCTTCGAGTTTCCCTCGCTCGAGCTGGATTAACACAGGCGGTTTTAGCATTCTCACAAGCTCAACGAGAAACTCGATTACTATGCCCTCTAGTTGGAACATCGAGAACTCCTTCGATAGATTTTCCAGATGGGTGTAAAGAGAGTCTCCGGCTCGTGGTTGCAAATGGTCCAAGTATCTAGTCCGTTCTTGTTCCCACTTGAGTGCACGACTGGGCTCTGTGGGAGTCCAGGTAAAACACCTATTGAGGTGCTCTGGTGACGCTTCTCCATGATCTAGGTATGTTTCGAGGCTAGCTTGCAGCATAAACCTGGCGAGAAGGCCAAGCCACCGTTCTTCCGATACTTCGGCAGCTGCAAGTGTACAGAGTGCTATGAGATCGGGGATAGTGTCTAACAGTGGTATTGCTTTCCCCTTCGTGTGCCTGCTGTTAAGCGATGGCACTGGGTGACTACTTCCATCCAGAACAGTTGTATCAACTCGAGACTCTCGTGACTCGGACGACAGCAAGCTATGTAGAGACTGGCTGACCGTGGGGGGTATTCCGGAAATTCCCTTGTCGGCACGTTCGTTTTTCCTGGTTGATGGAGAGAATGGCTTTTCCAACATTGAACGGCAAAGGAAACGACTAATGAAAGCTAGGAGCTGCAGCTTTATGACCAGGTCCTGCGAGAAGGGGGCTTCAGCATGGGTGCGCGAGAAGATATATTCGAATTCTGCAGCATCGATCATATATGTCAGCAGAGCACACTGTGGCTAGCAGGCTGTGTCGATAATGATGAGCATGATTAACCCACTACTGGACAGGCTCAGAAGTCCGGCAACATCCCAGCTGTGTGCTTGTCCTTGTCTTTCTGCAATTCGTGATCTCAGTATCGCGTTGATTGCATTGCACACGAGATAGTCCAAGACCATGACATCAACCTCTGGTTGTGTTGCTGGGTCTGCTTTATATTTTGATGTAAATTGCGATTTTGGTGCAACCGACATTGGGGATGGTGGCATTTGTGTTTTGAAGGTGCTGTCGTTGCTATCGCTGTCGTCTCGGGATATGGTATCCTTTTGGGTGGTCGTTGCTCTGTTACGCGGGTGCCTGTCCTAGGGACCTCTCGCATCCAATTAGAGCTCCCTGGTATGTGTAACTGGGGGTTTTCGGTGTTGTTTTGAGGGGACTTCTATCATGGCTATAAAGATATATGTTATGGGGATGTCTGACAGATGCTATATTACATACTCATGTCTCATGAACGGGTGAATACGCTATATATATATATATATTATCATCTGTTACAGCATCCATATACACCGGGACGGGAGGTACAATGGACCATATGACTAAGATAAAAAAATCAAAAGAAGTCAAACCAAGAGCATGGAACATTAACGCACCAACAAGTATAACATGACAGAGCCATGACTACATTATGTAGTAGAGTCATGTGGGGAGATGGATATGTGACCATGGCGTCATGAACACACTATGACACCTAGCTATGAGGATGCTAGGAAAACAGACATGAACCCAAAAAGTTTTATACAGGAGTAGCTGACCCCTCCTTTCCGTCCCCAACGCATCGAATAATAGGTGCCATATCCACTATATACCAACGGCGACCATATCACTGCCCAAGAAAACAAGCCTCCTCTGCACCCAAACTCCGAAGAAAGAGTCACCGGAGCAAACCTCAAAGTGAATCGGATCGCAAAGAGGGCCATGTCCATGGCGTGGTACTGCTCTGGCTCATCTAACACAGAGTTGATCGAGAACCTGTTTAAAGCAGGCCTCATCAAGAATGAACGGGTGAAAGATGCCATGTTGCGGGTGAGCATCCTCTTCCACCGCATCCTGCCTTTTATGTAGTCCCTACCTTGGCCGAGTGTGATTTATATACATCGCAACTGCTGAAAGCGAGCCCATGCAAAAGCACTGCTGATTTGACAAATGAGTTACTTCAAGGTCGACCGGGCTCACTATGCCCCTTCAAGTCCCTACCAGGACTCGCCGCAGCCTATCGGTTACGGTGCCACAATTTCAGCTCCGCACATGCACGGCCATGCGTGTGAGTACCTCGTTGACTTTCTCAAACCAGGTTCACGGGTGCTTGATATTGGGTCGGGCTCCGGATACCTAACACATGTCCTCACTAATCTTATCACGGACCCATCGTCTGTTGGGGGTACCGACGGCCAAGTAATCGGAATTGACCATATACAAGAATTAGTCGAAATTGCCCACAAAAACATGAGCAAGTCAGAAGATGGCCGCCAGTACCTGGAATCAGGAAGAGTGAAATTCATCACAGCTGACGGCCGACTGGGATGGAAGGAGGGAGCGCCATATGACGTAATCCATGTTGGAGCGGCAGCCGAGCAACTTCACTCGGTACTTATAGAACAACTTCGTACTCCAGGGCGCATGTTCATTCCAGTGGAGACAGAGAACAATGGGAGCCTTGCAGGAAGGCTTGGACTCGGTGGTGGGCAGTATATTTGGGTGGTGGATAAGAAGGCGGACGGGTCTGTGCACAAAGAGAAAGTCTTCCAGGTCAGCTATGTGCCCCTTACAGATGCACCGCAAAAGTGAGCAAGACAGTGGGCAGCGCTAGAAAACTGTTATTTTCTCCTTGGAATGAATGGTTAGGAAGGAGGCATGAAAAAGTGCCTAAGCATGATGTATAAGTAACTTCGCTTGTTTATGTTAGTGAAAAGGTGACTAAAAGGTGACTATCTCGTTATTTCCCACTATACTGAAAAGGCCCATCAAGGACAAAGAAAACAAACTAAAGATTTTCAGAGGGAATGAATTCGCTAAAAAACACTATAATTTGCGTAACCAGTTACACAAGCAACCCCCCTCACCGAAAGGAAGGATGAGTGAAAGACTTCAGAGTCGGAATTGCTAAAAGATAATTCACCGAAAGGGAAAGCCGCCAGGAAAATTGAACCCTTGCCCAGAGAACTTAAATTGGGGTCCTCCCTGCTGGAAGAAGAAATGTTGACCACCACCCCCATGGCTGAATGGACTGCCCTGGAATGGGCTGCCTCCCTGAGAATGTGGATCGTTGGGGTCATCACCATTATCGAAACGCGCCTTCAACTCAGGGTTCGATAGCACTTCATAAGCTTCATTTATGGCAGCCATTTTCTTTTCAGTCTCCTCTTTCGGGATCCCACGGGCAGTAGCCTTATCCGGATGATATTGCTTCGTCAACTGGCGATAAGCACGCTTGATCGTCCGTTCATCCGCATCACGGCTGACACCCAGAACCTTATAGTAGTCCTTCTGCTTGGAACGTTTCAGTAGGATGCGTGCCCTTTGCAAAAGAGTATTTATTTCCTTGGAATCGGGATGGTGATCCTTGGCGCTATTGAGTGTGTTTATAGCGTCCTCAAACCTATCCTCACCAATGGCAATTTGGGCCTTATATAAAAGACCAGCAAGAGAATGCGCATCGAGTTCTAGAGACTCGGAACAATAAGGGAGGGCCTTCTTGGACACGTGGCTCTGCTATTTAGATGATGTTAGCCAAGCGAAAGTTCAATACCGAGGCTTTGGAGATACAGACCTGTCTGTATGCCTCGCAGGCGCTCTCAACCAAAAAGTTGTATAGTTTGGTGGGTGTCGCAGGGTATATGAAGCCTGCTTCCCTGGCCTTCTGGATGTCTTCTTTCACATCATCTATTAGGCCTTTCTGTCCGCTCGCTCCCACCAACAAATTGACAGCGTTGGGAAATTTCTGCTTGTCGATTGATTCTCGCAAACTGTCCAACCGTTTGACGAGTTGCTTCTGTCTCCGGAAAAGGCCACTGCACGCTTTAGAATCGGGATCAAAATGCAGGCACTTCCGGATTTGAGTAACACCACGATCAACGTCGCCCAAAGCGTAAAACAATACTGCTGACATCTGCAGATGCGGCTCCACCAAAGCAGGTGAAATATGTGAGACTTGAACGAGGTCATTAATGCCTTCCTCCACTTCTCCTTTCACAAAGCGACAGTGTGCGCGAGTCTGTCGCAAGGTTACAGCTTCGCTTGCCTTTGATATTGCAACATTTGCCTGGTTGATGCAAGTATCCCAGTCACCTTTCTTCTCCGCATCTTGTGATGAGAGGGCAGCATCCCGTGCGATTTTAAGCTCCTGGTACTGCGTAGATGATTTTTTACCAGCCTTTTCAAGATCGTCCAACGCACCAGTCCAATCCGCACGCCTTGATCTTAGACGGGCACGTTGCAGTCGAGCACCCTCAAACTCCGGGTTAAGCTTCAATACCCGGTCAAAGTCCTCCGAAGCCAGTGAATTCTTCCCCAAGGATAAATAAGCTGCTCCACGTTGAAAAATTGTGATATAATTTGTAGGATCCCGTGAAATGGCTGCATCAAAATATAGAAGAGCATCACGCGGCGAGCCATTCGCGAGATGGGATTTTGCGGAGGAGATCAAGGACGATAATGGTGCATCATTGGGGATCTGTGATTGCAGACCGTATCCGGTTGAGATGCAGGCCAGGAGGACCGTCAAGGATCCTAAAGAAAGAAGCATATCCAAGTGGTAGAAAGTCAAGTTTAGAGTTGGGGTTTGTGACAGGAGTATGGAGTAGGTAGTGCTGGGAAACTCTGCAAAAGGGTATGCGGAAGCAGTATTTAGGAAAGATATCTGATACTCTTGGAAAGATTGCACACAATATTACATGATGGAATGAACTAGATGGTGGATTCAGAGTAGACAAAGGACAGACATCTCTATAAAGTCATGGGATGGATGTAGATATAGAACTAACTACCAGCCTGGCATCTATGATTATATTACATAATACATATAATGACATGTATGAAATACAGTCACATGACCCCAGAACCCCGGAGTCGTACAGAGTAATCATTAATAGAAAGCAACATGCAAAGTTGATACGCGCAATGGTTAATTGCCGATCCACTAATGTTTTGAATATTCAAGTAGAACCCCCCCGTGTTGAGAAATAAACGTTTGTTATTTGTCTGGGCAGAATTGTCCTTTGTTTCATTGCGGCGAAAGCATGATATGCTCCCGATGTTTTTTGCGCACTGCTAGGTTTGCTCGACAGCAGTGGTCGTTATTCCAATGGCGGGCTGTGACCACAAGTATGATTTCCTTATGTTTTCCTATCTAACCTGCCATTGTAGGATGGGGCCGTGGCTGATCCTTTCTACAGCACCGGAATCCGGAGTTTCTGCAGCTCTACTCAACCGGGCTCGCTCTCTGGCGAAGGAGCATTCTGCGCTTTCTACCCGCCTAGTTAATTCATTCGATGTGAGCCTAGCCAAGCGAGTTGGTGAGTTGGCTCCGATTTCTAAAGCCGTGCAAGAATGGGATAGCATAAATGAGGTGTGCATTCTGGAGAATGGGATGATTACGTTCGCCTACTGATGCCATGCCAACCTTTCCGTGTCCTCAGTCTATATCGGAGCTAAATTCCCTACTCGTTGACCCCAGCACGGACCCTGAATTGCGGTCTCTTGCCATTGAAGAGCTGGAGAACAGCAGAGCCACCATACCAGCAATATCGAGCAAATTAAAACATTCGCTCGTCCCACGTCATCCTTTCGCAGAACTTCCATGCCTTCTTGAAATCCGGCCTGGCGCGGGTGGAGATGAGGCTGGTATCTTCGCTTTAGAGCTTTTAAAAATGTACAGGGCTTTCTGCTCTCGACGTGGTCTTCGTTCAACCGTCTTGAAACAAGAACTCGAAGATGGAGCGGCAGAAGACCGGTTGAGTGAAGCAGTTTTAGAAATTGAGACGGACGGAGCTTACGACATCCTAAGAACCGAATCTGGAGTTCACAGGGTCCAGAGGGTTCCCGTCACGGAGACGAAAGGGCGTACGCATACGAGCGCCGTCAGCGTTATGGTTCTTCCTAGTTTTCCGGAAGCGCGAAGCGGCGAGAGCAGCGCACTCGATTACGAAAATCCCAATAGTGATTACTATATTAGTCCACAAGATGTTCGTTCCGAGAGAATGAGAGCAAGTGGAGCGGGTGGGCAACATGTGAACAAGACAGAATCTGCTGTGCGACTTACCCATATTCCTACTGGTATCGTTGTGTCCATGCAGGACTCTCGATCCCAGCATGCAAACCGAAGGGCAGCATGGCAAATTCTCCGGGCGAAGTTGGCTGAAATGCGGCGAGAAGCGCGAGAGCAGGAACTAGTCAAACTCAGAAGAGGGGCCATGGGAGGTGTTGCTAAAATGGGTCGCGGTGACAAGATTCGTACTTACAACTATGGTCAGAGTCGCTGCACAGATCACCGCAGTGGTGTTACAGTACATAATTTAGGCGATATCCTCGACGGCGGGGACGGCCTTGAAACAGTGATGGCCAGCGTGCGAGCCTGGTTAGATGATCGTCAGGCCGAGGCTATGCTCGCAGAGGAGCTAGCCAAACCGGGCGAGGACATAGCAAACAAGAAATGAATTCTATCTATGATACATATATAACCGGAAATACAAATATTTTGACCAACGCGCAGTCTTTGATGGTGGCTCCCCATTATTATGGTGTTCTCACATGTAATAGCTCCCATGATCTGGAGTGGAGATATTCCAAGTACTGAAAATGGCTCATAGACATTAGCCAGATATCATATGTATTTCCTCTGGGGGTCAATAGTATCCAGTCCCTCCATCATCTTCTCGTACCTGCGGCAAAGTCAGTGGAAGATCCACAAGTAGGTCCTTCGAGGGAAACAGACATAGTGAAAACGATGCCACCGCTTAAGATTAGCCTGACTAGCCGCGGAACAGCGCCGGACCAGAAGGTGAATACCCCTTCATCCCTGAAGATCCTTACAGCGCAGACAAGACTGTTCTTATAGTTCTTACTAGCCTCCAAAGATTGCATCCTGATATTGCAGTTAGTCCTACTTACATACAACCAACAACCAACTACTTGGAGAACCGGGTGCTCACCTAGTTTTAACGGTATCGAGTGGTTGAGTAACATAACTGTACGGAATTGATTTATCCAGTGTTTGAAGTTAGTAACAATGCCCTGCCACAACACGAAGCACCCCAGAGCGGGCGATTTAGAATGGTGGAAGGGAACATACACTGTGATGAGGCCAGCTAGACCACCGATAGCAAATGTGCTTACAGCGCCCAGTTTCTCTCCAGGGGCAACGTAGCCCTGAGCCAGTTGCTTTATGGTGGTGTAACTTGAGAACCTCGTGGCCGAGTTAGCAGCTTGCCTAGCTGTTGTCGGCACGAAGCCCTGGAAAAACCCTCGAATGCCTCTTTCCTGGAAGATAACTTTGCTGCCGTGAAGAAAGCCACGCATACGGGGCTTAGCAGATTTTCGATCATCGATCCTGGAAAAAAAAGAAAATTGTTGCAACTGTTAGCTAATATACCATCGTGTGACAGTCAGGGATATGGACAGGGCTGGCAAACACAGACAGTTGTGTTTTTATGCTTTCAAAGGGAGTGACAGCCAGAAGCGACTCAGTGAAGCCAGCACCAAAACCAGCAATCACTGTTCGCGGTCCTGATATTTTCCCACTTTGATCTTGGAGAAGAGCCTTGAATGTGTCAAAGGCAACAAACCCTAGGTTACTAGCTCAGCTATGCTGCCCCGGAGAAATGGAGATAAACTCACGGATCCCCGCCTTAGCAGAATTTCCAATGATCAACGTAGTGCATCCGGCATACCATTGTTTTCCGAATGGCGGCCATGGGAGTTTTTTCGAATCCGGTAACCTGCGATTGAGCTGCGTACGTGTCTTGGCGACTAGTGTCCACTGATTAGACTGGAACATAATGGAGAGGGAATTGCACCGCACATTCAGCTGGATAGGTGATTGCTGTTTGAAATTAGCAAACAAATATCCGAGGGGTTCATCTTTACGAGAGGTAGTTACCAATTTCAACTGCACCGGCGGTAGAGCCGGCTATAATGGACCGCAGGCTACTGGGCTGTAGGAGCAGTCAGTAAGTCGTAGTAGCTACTTAACGGATGTGCGAGGAACAGACCTTCGGCCTCTGGTCTCCTTCCACAGAAGCCATTGCTGCTAAGGCAAAATAGACCGGGTAGAGCTTATACTCGTGAGGCAGATCATGCAGTGGTATCTGTATAGGCTACAGGAGGTAATGATGATATTGTGTTCACTGAAGACCCTGTACGGCAACCGGGTGAATCCACCAGTGCAGGAGTTATCACCGAGGCCTTTGGTAAACCTACATAGATGATAGTAGTACACAGCGTGCTGCAGCTGGCAATTCGTCTGTGGAATGGGAATGCCTACATGCAATAATAATATAACAATACTACTAAGAGGGACAATTGACATTTTCACTCGATGCTGAAGTATAAGCAAGGTTCATCACTCCTGCATCAAAGTGCTCCTCTTACCTTCCTTCCCCTTTCCTCGTTTCTTTTCACTTTTTCTTCTTTTAATCTTAATTCTCTCCCTCTTTCTTTTGTCTCTTTTCTTTTTCTTTTTTTTGCCCTTTCTTTTTTCTTTTTTTTTTTTTCCTTTTATTTTTACTTTAATTTTTATTCCAGATCTTTCCCCACCCCAATTTCATTTGGACCTCTTCCCCCTTTATCCTCTCATCACTCTTCCTCCTGTTAGACCCTTCCCACCAAATCCTTTCATGTTGCGACATCACCTTCAGAGCTTCTATTTCACTCACTGACGATATGTAATCTGCCAATATTACCCCGAGACCGGGGAACATGGAACATGGGCAATGAACAATTGCTGCAAAAGCTTTCTTTTTTGAAATTTTTCTTGATTCTCGAAAATGATAAGAAATTGTGATGTTCACCGGGGAACATCAGACGAATCCATATTAGGTATAAATCATCTCTTGAACGATCAAAAAAATGAATCCGGCTGTTCGATCGAGTTGATACATCGCAAGTCGAAGTTGTCGACACTGCTCCAAAGGATGGAACAGCCACCGACAGTTGCATTTAGAAAGACAGAGAGAAGGAGCAAGTCAAGTGCAGGAGTTGCGAGTTGGAAATGAGACAAGAACATGAACAAGGCGACGATTCTCGTAGGCTATTGGTATGATCTTTCAAGAGCTGCTCAAAATCGGTGCATGTGAATTGGAGATTTCATATGTCCCGCCGACTTGGCCGAAGAAATGAACTTGCCGGCGAGGAGCCAATAAGCAAGTATGTCGTCAGAGATGAAAATCAAAACAACCACATTGCCGCTTGACTCCAAGAACGCCGTACCCACCATTCAGGAATCCACCGAAAACAATGGTGAATGGGTGCCCCATGCTTTGCTAATGAAAAGCGAGAACACCTATAGCGCCAAATCCGTAAGAAGCGATGAAGCGTATGCCCCCAACCAACCGATCCATGGGGAAAACAAGGATCGAACAACTGAGCAAAAGGAAATATGATACACATGTCGCGGTATTACCATCTTATCATAGCAAGAGTGCCGAGAAGACTTGTGTCAGATGACAAACTGCTGAACCGAAGACAAGCCCGGAATGCCAGACAGTCCCTTCACCACCCCCCAAGACAAAGAGTAGCAGATCCCAGCGACAAGAAAAGACATAAAAAGCATTTGTAATCTTCCATTCGAAATACGTCGGTAATAATTTGTTGATCTAATGCGACTGTGTGAGGATATTAGGATACAGGTGTTGGGTGTGATTTTCCAGTTGGCTGTCCTGGAGAAGTGAAAGATCTATTGGGATCGTTTTGGGGCCCACGTCGTGGGCCTTGTCCACGGCCCCCACGATATGAACCTCGACCCCGGCTGAAATTGTAATGCCCACCGTTCGCATGATTATTATGGCGACGTTGCTGATGCTCTCCATTACCCGCGTATTGTGTGGTAGCGGACGTCTGACCTGGCTGCGAGGGGTGTGAAATCGGGCGGGGAATGGTACCGGGAGATTCATAAACGTAGAGTTTTTTGTCGATGTTCTGCGGGATGGGCTGTATCTCCGTTCCCAGCTCTTGCTCGATCTTATACAAGTTGAAGCGATCATCCCAATTAATAAGATTAATTGCCAGACCTAGATGGCCAAAACGACCGGACCGTCCAATCCTGTGGAGATAAGTCTCCGCATTCTTCGGAAAGTCGAAGTTTATAACGACATTCACAGCTTGAATATCGATACCTCGCGTCAGTAGATCAGAGCAAACAAGATTGCGGCATACACCATTTCGAAAGTCGTGGAAAACTCGGTTGCGATGTTGTTGAAGCATTCGCGCATGTGAATAGAAGCAAGAGTATCCGAGTTCCGTTATTTTCTTTGCAAGGAGCTCCACGCGGTTGGTAGAGTTGCAGAAAATAATGGATTGGTTAATTTGGAGTTTGGAGAAAAGAGTGTTCAGACAGTGCACCTTCTGCTTTTCTTCCACGAAGGCGTAATATTGAGTAATTCCCCGCAAGGTGAGTTCATCCATGAGATTTATTTCGTAAGGGTTGCGCATATGCTTATCCTAACGAACAGTCAATGAACACAGAGATTGAAGAGGAGACTCCAGAGTATATTACCTTGAACGATTTGACAATCAATGGGAACGTGGCGCTGAACAGCATAACCTGACGATCTTTGGGGTGGAAAGACAACAGCTGTTCAATAACAGGCGTGAACTCAACGGACAGTAACTTATCAGCTTCGTCCATAATGAACGTAGGGCATTCAGAAAGATCAGCGACACCCTTGCTTGCCAAGTCTAGTACTCTTCCTGGTGTTCCGACGAGAATGTGGACTGCATCATTCAATCGAATAATGTCATCCATCAGTCCCGTTCCTCCGGTTGTGACCATGACATTGATACCCAGATGTTTTCCAAGTGTCTTGCATACTTGTGATGTCTGAAGTGCGAGTTCTCTCGTAGGAACAAGAATGAGCGCCTGAGTTTTTGTGCTCTTCGGGTTTATGCGTTCCAAAGTAGGAATAACGAACGCTGCCGTTTTCCCGGTACCGTTTTTTGCCCGGGCTAGTATATCCCTGCCGGTAAGGGCAACTGGTATCGTTTCTTCTTGGATCGGGGAGGGTCTTTCAAATCCGGCCTCAAAGATACCCATCATCAACTCACGTTTGATGTAAAAATCTTCAAACTCGAGACCTTTAGTAGCTGTCACATCCTGCAAGAGAGTCAGTCTTCCACCCGGTCCAAGAAAAGAAAAAGAAATGAAAGACGAACCTCGGTCTGCGGTCTGGTATCTTTCTTGGGAACATTCAATTGTCCCTTCAACTTCGCTTCAGCGTTCGCTTCCCTATAGTGAGAAGGTCGTGAGTTTGCGATACGTGCGGGTAAAACTTGGTGTCCCCAAAGCCACATACCCTAGTTTTGTATTTTTTAGTTGCGAGGCAAGTGCGTCGGCCATGGCGATATGGGGTTGAACAAGCAACAAAAGGGAATATGATAGATTTCGTTAAGAAAAGAGGTGATCCTGTTGTATGGGGGGAAAAGTTGCCGAAATAATGAAGTATTTTTTTTTTCTTTGCCAGAGCAAGGAGATGGCGAAACTCTTTAGAGCCTCTCGTTTCTATGCAAACAAGGCTAGTTGAATGTCCCTAGAGACTCAATCCGTTGACAAAAAAGCTGGAAATAGACAAGAATCTAGCAACAGAACTATTGCCTATGTAATACCGCAGGTAGCAGTGAGTTTCAAGACTTTCGAGACGAGACCTAAAGCTAAACGCTCGACAGCCGATTGAAGTCGAGGTAGGAAGGATTTGAGGAACAATCCCTGGGTGGGAAAAGCCGGCAAGGTTGAGAAAATTGAAGATGGAGGAGGACAGTTATAGTGAGAATGTGGCAACGCGGTCCTTTTTATGTGGTGAGATGGATAGTGGAGAGCAGTGTGATAATTGATGGGCAAGATCTTTGGTGAGGTGAAAGTATGGACAGCGTACAGAGTATATTTATGGAGAGAAGTGTGGGAGCATGCCAAGATGAACACTAGTAATTAATACATACGCCGGTTATTACCCCGTATCAAGACGCTGTACGTACGAACTTACAAAATGCAGATCAGGTACGAGTTCATCTCTTTCATTAAATAATAATGATAACAATATAATTACAGCTGTAGATATATCTCATACAATATTTCTGGGGACGTTCGATAATGCTCTCCATATTCCTCATTCTTTTTTGTCAGAAGTGCAGTTAAGTTATCTGACGTGATAGAAGCATCCTGCCTGGGCAACGTTGCACTTCAGAGAGGATTTTCAGCAGTGCTGAATGCCCGGCGAAGGGGCAAAGAAAGCTATCACTGCCGAAATGACAGTGTCGCTTGACCCCGTTCAGGCTCCGCCAACCTATATATAAAAGGTGACTGTCAATTCCGTCGCCCGAATGGTTTCCTCGCGCCTAGAGGGATATGCACTTACTCTTTCACCCGGATGTCAGGCGCTAAGCTAATCTCTGCTCTTGATCCGGGAGTGATGAGGATGAACTGCCGACCAATAGATCGCCTGGCAGCAAGCATCTATAGAGAGCCAGTGTGTTAGTAGTATACCATCTTATGTCTCCTAGCTGGTTAAGATGAAACTCACAAGCATGTCAATGGCCATCTTTCTATTGACAGAGTCCATATATACATCACTATGAAAATGGTTGTCAGCAGACTTCATAATAGTTAATTCCACTACACATACAACTCGTCCAAACAGCGGATTGGCGAGCCCATGGCTTCCCACAGGGCCAACAGAAGACAGACCTGCGAGAAAGACTTCTCGCCACCGGACAAGGTCTTTGCGCCACGCCCAGCACTGCTATCTTTGGTTATGTCAGGTTCAACCTACGGACATATGTCAGAATTGTGATAGCTCAATCCTGTCACCTATTTATATGACCTTACCTGAAGATCCAAGAGCTTGCCCTCATGGTCCGTAAGCAATCGACCACGGAAACTGCGTTCACTCAGGAGGTATGTAAATTGTGCCTTGGCACGACATGAAATATACGACCTGAACATAACCCATCGGTGTTTGCGAAAACTGAGCGTCTTTTTGAAGATCTGTTCTTTTGTTTTAGTATGTGCTAGCGATATCTGATAAAAAAGGGATTGGTTGTACATTAGCCAGGGTTTCCAGCTCCAAGACCTGATTCCTTGCCCGTTCGTAAGATGCATTTGTTTCCCTCGCTTCCGTTGCAATTTGATCTCGAGAGGCTCCCACCCTAGAACTTTTCAGTACGTAGCTATAGAGTTGTAAAATGTAGACTTACTGTTCATGAAAGCGTTGAAGGTCTTTATGAAATCTATCAAGTTTCTTATCCAAGCTGCTCGGTGTTTCACCTTCATCAATCGTAACCCGAGGGGAAACCAGGCTGGCCTTTTCACTATAGTCGACAATTCGACTGATGATCTGCTCCCTCTTGCGCTCAATCTCTGCCATTTCCTGCTTAAGATCGTCAATCTGCCTGACCGTAGCATTTTTATCGCTAAGGATTTTACGGCGTTTATCCGATACCCTAAGCTCTTCACTCTGGGCAATTCGTAAACTCTCCCTTAAAGCCGAGGTCTCTTCATCCTTTGCAGCGATCTCTTGTCCAGTTCTTTTCATTTTTTGCATAATTTCATCCATAGCCCTGACACTGTCATTATAAGAGCCCTCATTGAGGCGTTTTTCTTCTTCAGCCTCTCGAAGAGCCGCCTGGAGTACTTCAAGATGCCCATCCCCCGCAGTTTCTTTGTCCAGAGCGTCTCGAAGTTCTTCTGTACGATCTTCTATTCTCTGCTGGGCAACCTTAAGGTCTTTGGCTTTTCTATCGTGCCTCACTAAAGCTTGCTTGCAGCTTTCTAAATGAGACCGGGAAGAACGCAGGTGATCTTCCAGATTGCGCAGCTCGCGACGTAGATCCTCCACCACGTCACGCTGAATCCTATATAAGAGTAAATATGACATGGTCATGTTGCGAGATATAAGAGCATCCTACCTGATTTGCGAGGCAAGATCGGACTTCATTCTGGGGCTTCCATTGAAGGCTGGGACTGGTGCTTGACTCGGCTCACCAGAACGGCTGTAGGAAAGGTGGATCCCCCGCCGTCTGTTCGATGGGTCGATACAATAGCACCTCTTCACGTTTCTCGGGCGCTGGCTATCAAAGAGTACGGAAGTAGCTTCCTCCAGGTTCTCAATCAATAACATTTGCTCTATGCCATGATTGATGATCAATTGTCGACGTACGAGCTCATTGTCGATCTAGTGAGAGTTAGGGGGGAAGAAGATTAGATATCAATGTAATTTCGTGAGGAATTTCTTACCTGAAGAACCCTTAACGCGGTATTAAAATGATGGTCTGGTTCATGTTTCGCTGTATCAATACGACCATCGCTCCCTATAAAGATGGGACATACACTGTGATCGTTGTTATCTAAAATGCCGGGCGAATAAACTTAATAGGGTATCTCACCAGTTGACTTTCTGCATAATATTGGAAAGGATGTTCATGTCTGATTTCGAAGTCACAACAAAGCTGTTCAATGTCGTGCCGAGAGAATTTTCTAAAATTGAAGACCATTCCGGCTTCAGCAAGCTGACGTAGTGGCCTATAGGGCCGACAGGAGACCTCCTAAACGATCCTTTCTGTTGTTGAATCGTCCTTAAAAGCAGGGGCATCCGTTCATGGAATCCAGAGTGCTTCACACCCCCATCTCTTGTGAGATTTCGTAAAAGGGTTTCGGCTTGTTCGACGTCTGCCTTCTTCTTGGCAATGGGTGCTGCGGCTAACTTTACCTCATTTTCGGCCTTTTGGAGCTCTTTGTGAAGAAGATCAGAATCCCGCTGATGGTCCTCATACCGCTGACGGGCCATGGATGCATCATTTTCTGCTTGTTGTAGCTGCTCTTGTTTCCGAGAATAACTTCCACCACTAAGCTCCGAAAGTCTTTGAGTTTCTTGCGCAACTTTCTGTTGTGTTTCCTTGACTCTTAACTCTGCCGCCTTGAGATATTCTCTTATTTGACGCTGCTGAGCCTATGTTATAACATGTCAGTGTGAACAGGCCCAAATCTAGACATATGGACTCAGATTCCATACTTGAAGGTCATGACGTTCGCCCATTTCCTCATCTAACCTGGATTTGATGTCTCCCTTCTCATTCTCCACTCGTTGGAGATCCACAGTAGCTCCCCTGACAATTCCAGCTGCACTCTCAGATTCATTCTCGGCCTCCTCGAATGCAGCATCGAATCCACCGACTTCTGCTTCCTTAGCTGCTATCTTCTCTTGCATCTTGGTGAGTTCATGCTCGAATGCATCTCTGGTCTGTGAAAATTAGTAAAGGAAAAACAACTTCAAGACAGGCTTTTCCAACCTTTTCCTGTTCTTCAACTTGGGCCCAAGCCATTTGACTTCGGAGATTCCTGATCCGCTGCCTGAGATATTCGTGCCTGTCGGATATATCTAGTTTCTGCTTTGCCATATCACGACGATTTCTCAAAATCTTTATGTCCTCGTTTTTGCTCTCCAGTTTCTCTTCAATCTGATCAACAAACTCCTCGATTAATCGATAGTCTTGATCAAGCTGCTCTAGCTGGACTCCTCTGACAAAAAACTTATACTTATCAGCCGCACTAGATGAGCTGAGAAACTGACGAGCCATATCTTGAGAGAGTACGTTCATTGGGTTATCAATCTGTAAGTTGAAATAGTCTGTGATAGAGTCTAGCTCCGACTTTTTGGTGGATACTATGCGCCCGTTTGCGGCTTTGATCTTAAAACCACTGGTCCCGTTTTTCGAGAAATGTCGTTCTACGATAATCGACTTTCCATAATCGTCGGGCATGTAGGAGCCCTCACCCTGGTTTTTGATCCGTACGATAATACTGGCATTCCTGCATAGGAGAATAGTCAGAAAATGAGAGATACACAGTAAGATTTGGTTTACCCACTCTTTCCCTTCCTTGATAAAGCTCTTTAAGCTTTGTCCACGGTTGGTAGCAGAAGCTTTACCGCCCAGGCAAAGTGTTATAGCGGTAAGAATTGCGCTTTTGCCGCTACCATTTTTTCCGACAATGAAGTTTATCAACGGCCCTAGCTCCACGTAGAAGTGGTCGTGGCACATAAAATTGTAGCACTCGACGCGCTCAAGAATTCCATGTTCGGCGGGAACATTGGGCTCGTTACTCCTGAAAGAGTATTTGTCCTGGATAATCTGTGTTGCGCGTAATTCAAGCTCATCTTCGTCGTCGAGGGGCCAGGTACTTGGTATGCTTCCTATTCCATCGTCCTCACTCTTATCAGTTTCTTCCTCAGATATCAAAGAATTAGAGCGGCGAAGGCGTTTTCTCTTCGACCCCATTAGCACATCAAACATGATAAATTCCGCCTTGGATGCGCACCGATTGAAAAGAGCTGTCAGTTAACACGGTTCGACCGTCATCATCTTCGTCGGGCTCTTCCAATCCAGAGGACGAGCGCGCACGTTTTAAAGGTGGCATAAATGGAATGTCGTGAAAACGAAGGAATCGGAGAGGAAATAATAAAGCTGCCGGGATCTTCCAAGCGGCGTGCTGTGTCCTGGTTATTTGAGGTCATCAATGATGGAGAGCATCGCGCTTTGTCGCGTTTAAGCCGCCAAGAAAGCGCGTACTATATATAGCACCTCGTAGATGTAAGCCTGCGAAGTACCCCATACAGATTTATCCCCTGCATACCTTTTTTACGCAGAATTTTGCATATGAAATATTCATTCTACAACAATTTATTCTGCACATGAAAACAATAACTCTGTCATCGTCAGATGCTCGCGCTTCTGTAATACACACTACCTATCGTTTATAGAGAGATAACCTCCAAAACTAAAGGGCAGAATATGGAAAGCTTTTGCCAAAGAGAGTAATCGCAAAGGGTTGTAATTGTTGCCAGCTTAAGCATGGCCATGCCAAAGCTTGCGCCCATGACCGAAAGAGAGTTTAGTTACCAAGAAACACCAGGGTGACCAGGTATAAAAATCCTACCTAGCGACCCACTAATAGAAAGCACGACAGTAATTATGTATTAACCAGACATCAAAGCATGTATTGATCACTCGAGTTTTTGAGAGCTTGACTTCCTATTGCAAATTGTAGTTGTACCCTTAAGCCTCTGCAGGTTCCTCCGCCACATAGTGCAAATATGCCCCAAGCAGCTTAATACCTTCCAGATAATTTCTCTTATCAAGCTTCTCATTAATCGAATGTGCTCCGTCAGTAGAGCTTCCCATTGGCAGAAGCAGAACATTCTTCCCTGTTGCCTCTTCGAAGGTCAACGTAATGGGAATACTATCTGTAAGTTAGCTCTGATACAAGAGCAAAGATCCTTATTCCGTGAACTTACCTTCCACCCTCACGCGTCATGTCCGGTTCAACTCCAAATACCTGCTTGACAGCCTTGCTAGCAGCAGTGAAGTTCCAGTGCCGTGGACTAGCAACCCACCACTTCCCATCGTGCTGGAGACACACATCCAAAGTATTTTTGCTGTTTAGCTTTGCAAACTCGGATTTGATGTGGTCAAAGACAAGTTTGTTCACATCCTCACTTTGCATGTTTGGCACGGTCCGGATGGAAAATTTGCCAATGACTTTGGCCGGGATGACAGTCTTGGCACCGGGAGCGGAGAATGCGCCTTCGATTCCATGGATAGACAAAGATGGATATCTCCATCTGGCCATGAGTGTTCTCTCCTTGCTCGGATGAATGCTTGTCTTGCTTCCCAGTGACTCATGGAGATTGTCCATTGTATAGCTGATTCCGCTATACAGGGACTTTTCTTCTTCCGACAGAGGCTCGACGAGATCCATAAGGCCTGGGATCAAGATATTGCCTTGAGGATCAACAAGCTTCGACAGTACAGTGACTATGTCTGTCATGGGCTCATGGGCTGAGCCACCGAAGACGCCGCTGTGCAGATCCTGGGCGGGACCAGAAACACTGACAGAGTAGTAATTACAACCTCGCAATCCATAGGTTAGACAAGGCTTCTCTGTACCGAGCCAGTAGTTATCTGATATGCAAACGGCATCTGTGTCTTTGAAGAATGCCTTGCTCTCGGACTTGATGAACTCCTCCAAACCTTCAGAGCCATATTCCTCCATTCCTTCAAAACAGCAAAGAAGGTTAACTGGGAACTCGACACCAGCTTTCTTGTGAGCCTCAATCACATTTATCCAACCCAAAACGGGACCCTTGTCGTCAGTACTGCCACGGCCGAACATCCTTCCTTCACTGTCAATGGTCAACTCAAAAGGCTCACTAGCCCACCCGTCTTCTTTCAGAGCTGGTTGAACGTCGTAGTGTCCATAAACCAAAATGGTTCGCTTGTTTTTATCATTCCCATATCGAGCAAGGACAACCGGGGGAAGATCAAGATGTTCCTTTCCGGGCTGCTTGCCCAGGGGCCTCTGTTCAACCTCAGCTCCCAGGGCTTCTAACTCCGAGGTGAGAAACTGGGCCATCTTTCGAAGAGTAAAACAGAAAGTCAGTATACGCGAGAGTATCTACACATATCAAATATTACTGACCCTGAAGACATCCTTTCTGTTTTCATCTTGAGCTGAAATCGAGGGGATTGCAACGGCCTTCCGCAGTCCTTGATGTTGTCAGTGTCGCAGCAGAAATTTCGACCGTACAGGCTACGCACGATCAATGAAAGAGTCTGACAACTGGTCAACTCTAAGTATACAAAAATCCTGAGTGAGCGACTATTCTGCTTTTGACTCTCGTAGGGCTGACACAGCTTCGAACTTACTGTTTGAAAAAGGGTTCCAACTGGGGCGCCATTTTTCGATCGCTGATATGTCCGTAGAATAAGCGGCGGTTAGCGAGATAAGATACTCTTGGACAGCCAAACTGTCGTTGTAAACAGCTTCTAGCTGAGGATGAGAAAAGTAAATAAGTGTTCTGGCGTGCAAGGAATGCTGAAGTGCGAAGGAGGGGAAAGGGCATCGCGTGGGGCGGTTCGATAATTGTCTGCTTGGGTGGTATTGCGTCGTAGTAGTCAGTCGACTGATCCATATGAAACAGTGAAACAGCACACTGAGCAGAAGGGATACCTCTCCACCCACGCCCACAAAAGAAAAGAGAGAAGTTGGCCCCAAATTAATATTCTCTTTCCAAGGAATCAAATCAATTACTTCTATAATACAAGGCTTGACTATTTGTATCAAGATCCCTTTCACAAAGGATATTTCACGTGATTCCAAAGACGAAAACATGGCCCAAATGAAATGGGCTTCATGAAGAACAGGAAAATAAAAAGTGACAATAGCAAAAGGCCGAAATAGCGAGCTTCGTTGGCGTTCAATTTACTCGTCTGTTCCCCACGTCTCCTTCCGCAGTTGTCGGTCTTCTCTAGCAATTCGTCGTTTGACACCCCATCTGGATTGCACTGCTTCCAAGACTTGCTTCTGAATCTCTTTTTTCTCTGGGCCCGCGTCACATACCATGCCGATGAACAGCGGAGAGCAGTTGAATCGCTTCGCTAGCTTCCATCTGCTCCATGTCATTGGATCGCTAAGCCGGAGTTGGCGGATCTCTTCTATGTCAGATGGTTTTAGGTGGTATTTCTTTTCCGATGTTCCCTTGAACACGGGAGGAAGATTGTTGGCATCGGGTTGCGTGGTTGTAACACCAGCGCGTAATGTCCGGCGGGCATCGTCCGGAGGAAGAAATTTCGTTGGAGTGTGATATACAGAAGGCGCGCTTGACGGAGGATTGTAAATAATACGATCATGAAGTTTGTTTGAGGAATTGCCGAACGATGCATCTGGTTTGACGCGTAGGCGCTGTTTCGTTCGTCTGTATGAAGACTGATTCCGCCGCAATTCTAAACCGACAGACTCGCTCCAGGAAGGTAGAAGGAAGGGAAGCGTCAGAAATGGCCTTTTTGAAGCCATCATCGAAGTTGCCATGACGCACGTCTAACCGCAATGGATTTATGCACAAAAGACCGACAGGGACGGTGTGGCCGTCTTGTTCGAAGATCCTAAGACACTCTCTGCAAGGGGAGAGGGGGGAGGAAGAAAATTAGTTTCAATGCGACCGCAATTGACTGGGTTTGACTTAGATACGCACAATAAAGGGCTCCAAAAAGGATAGTCGTTCTGCTCCGAAAAATCAGGTTGGTTAAAGTCCAGACTAACCCAAGAACTTTTCCCAGCAACCGGAAGTCCCGTGACACCAGACAAATGCTTGGACACGCCTAACTTATGTTAGTACACGTGAGGTACTGCCGTCCTAGACCGCCCTCGCTACCTATCTCACGGCACAGGCAGGCCTACCTAGTAATATGACCATACATGCGCCTATCCATTAACTTATTGTTAGAGGTCACGTGTGGGTTGCCTCGGTTGACCGCCCTCGCTTGCCTGACACACACTAAAATAGTTAGACCAACATAGATAGAGACAATCAAGCAAGTTGATCCAACGCTTATTGTAGTAGTAATCAGTTCCGCCGACAGTTAGAGACCAACTTTCATGCAGCCTGAGCATTTGATATCAGTAGGCCATAAATACCATTGGGTAGGATACAAAGGGACATCTCTTCAATTTAGAACCTGGAATGGAACTTCACTTCCATTGGGTTTGCATGCAGCGACAGTAGTAGTAGTCCTGAGTTGTTATAGAGTAATCATCTCGTTTGCACTGTTTGATTGAGGTCACCAGGAATGCACTCCATCGTTGATAACTATTTAGCATCAACTTTGTGTCTACATACTCCTTACTCTGTACTGATGCACCTTACCTTGCTTATTATTCAATGATGCAATGCTGTATGTCTACTACTACAGGACCTGAATTTGCACTATTTCATCGCTGAGCCCTCTTAAGTTAATGTGTCTCTTTCTGTCATGTCTACACTGAACTCCAGTTATCAATTCTGGGCTCATATGTTTCTATAGTTGATGTCTTGATTAAAAGACTATATTTTTGCATGCTTGTCTGTTTATGTAATACTTTTGTTAATAACCCTCATGTTCCTTATACCTCCTTCATCCTGTTATTCAAGTTCCTTACATACTGATCTAAACCCAGTTAGAGAAGATGTGGATTTGATTGTTACTGCATATAAATGATTCACAATATTTTGACCTGCAACTTTCAGTGTATGTTCTATCACCCTGGGCTCAATCCTATTCTGTAGGCAAGTCTTCTGAAATTTCACCATTCTTGTGTCTGTCCTGTCCTGTCCTGCCTGATATGTATATGAAAGAGCAGTGTAGAGCCAGAGGCTCTACATCCTAGTCTTTTGCTAGTGCAGCGTCTAAGCTCCTGAATGCTCCCGGAGGCCGCACCGTGACAATTTCCTACTCCCTCAGAGATACTACTATAGCTGAGATTTGGAGCTCTAGAACACCGAGCGTATCATTTTGGTTTAATATTATGGCGACAGCCCAGTACAACTTCGTAGTCTGAATCGAACCACCAACCAAACCGTTCCTGGCCACCTCCATAGATCCAAGGGGGCAGTTAGGGTTTCAACTGGCCCGCTTCAAGACTCATATTTCCTGATTCAGGGAAGTGTACATGACAAGCCCTTCACTGACGCAAGGAACGCCTGACCTATAGAACCGAGACCGCTATTTTAAAGGGAGATGGGGGGAAGCGTGGTGAATCAGCTAGAACGAAGCCTCGACCATTAATGTTGCTCCGTTGAATCTACCCACAGATACGTTCTGCTTCAACAGCTTCTAGCACAGCTGCTTAGGCTGACATGATATCTCCAGTCTCACCTCCTAGCTCTTCAAGTCATTTCTATCGGGACTTATCCTCTTCAGGATACTACTGCCGGTCTACGAAACTGCGTTCACCTTCTCCCTCACAAATTTTCGAATGGAGCGTATAGGAAGATGTTTCCCCAATTGGTTGCTGTCGAAGTTGCCACCCCAGACCTTCGCCAACTCGCTCTTTCTCCAGTTGCTGACGCTATCTCTCCGGAGCGGCAACTTTCATCACCCTCAAACGAGGGCATCGAGGCGGGGTATCCTAGCAAGCCTGATAGATACCCCCCTCCATTCGAAACGGCAGATGTCCGGCGGTTGATTTTCGTTTCATTCGCTGACACAATTAACTTCGAGAATGCTGAGGGCAGTGAATCTTTGTCCAATCGTGGCAATATTCAAATATCTGCACCTTCAAGCAACGCCGTCAGTACAGTACATCAGGACAGTTCACCATCACCACTACATCCATCCGCATCATTCAATGGTCTCGGCACCTCGCCTTCGCTCCCGACGAGCATGTCAATGTCGGTAATGGGACTAGACACTTCTCCAACCAATGGAGTGCATCGAGCGTGCCGATGATGGACACAGGCCCTTTCTCCAAATTCTGGGGGGCCGGAGGGCCCAGTATAGAAACAATGCGGCAGTCAAGGCCGTGGAGTGAAGATGTAAGTAGTGCAAAGAGCCTAAATTGGATCACGGCAGGTGGTGATGGCGCTGCTTTCGACCATTGCTGATCTTATTTCATCGTTCAGCTTCCTACGTTTTCGACGCCGTCATTTTTGGGTACCAAGGACTGGGTGAAGATTTTATATCTGGATGGTTGAATTTGTGATTTTATATGCATCAACTTTTTGAGTAAGGGCTATACTACTGTTAAAAGCCTCAGGTAATTTGATCTTGGAGACATACCTAGGCCACATAACCAGCCTGGGGAACAGACCAAAGGCCCGCTTTTGTGGGTTCAACTGCAGGCTTGGACTATCGTGACTATTTTTGATACTACCATCTTCCCGCGCGCAGTCATAGTGTTGATATGGCACAGCAAAGGCCTGATCGTTGAAGTTCGGAAAATTCCCTCAATCCAAAGCCTTACTCTTTAGTAGCGTTTGCAGCCGCACTTAGAGCTCGTCCCATCCTAGAACTGAGATCTGAGATATCTTCTAAACCAACACTTATTCTCACCAAGTCGGAAGCAATACCGAAAGTGCTTGCCTGGTAAATGGTCAGAAACAATAGTTACATGTCTAATGCAGGGGACACAGGAATAATGAGGCCTTAAAACAGAGGTTAGGAAGAAATCCCAACTTACCCATTCCAATTCGCTGTAATGTGCCAATAGCGTGTAGGGGCAGCTAGATTAGGTTGTTCCGATGTTAGGAAGAGCCGATAGTATGTCGGGTATTCAACACAACTCACCTGAGTGTAAAATTCGTTCCAAGGCTAGGCCCCTTCAATACTTCTAGATTATCGAAAAAAGCCATTGCAATAGCAGTAGAATGGAATGTCACAGAAAAAAGGCCACCGTAACCCCCATTGGGGTTACGGAAGTCTTCATAAAACGTCTTTGAAGGATGGTACTTTGGATAATACACTTCTTTCACTGCGAATTTAATAAGTTTCATCATCAAAGTCAAGAAATCAGAAAGGCTTACCGAGAGCTGAGTTTCTCAATAAGGCCGTGGTAGCTTCCGTAGTCTCATTAATTTTTGCGATTCTTGACACAAAATCTCTGCTGTTTCTCTCGAGAAAGACAGCATCTTCCGCCCAAAGGTTATCTTCGTATTCCAAAGAAAAGGACTTCTTTAGGATCTCATAGAAACGACTGTGAGGATTAATCACTGCGCTTCCTCCCATTACATTACTGTCTCCGCTGAAAATCTTTGTCAGGCTGCTGACCACAACATCCGCATACGGAAGCACATTGACGTTGAGGAAGTTCCCAACTGTTTCGTCTACCACGACGGCAAACTCGTACTTATCCGCAAGCGTGCGTATGCGTTTGAGGTCTGGAGATTTGAGCAATGGATTTCCAGGAAACTCAGTGAAGAGTGCGAGAAATTTCTCGCCATTACGTAGTCGTGATTCCAAGTCATCCAGGTCTTCAGAAGAGCCATTTCCGTAGAACACGCAACCAGGACCCCATTTCTCGAGAATCTTCAAAGTGTCCACGTAAGGAAACCCAAAGCAAATGCTTTTCATGGAGCCTCTAGCGGCCATCAGAGTCTGGTGAGTGTTAAAAATGGAGCTCATGCCCGTAGGGAAGAGAAAAACGTCATTTTCGGTTAAGCCTGCCATTCTTCCTTCTGATGATGCCTCCTCGAGAGCTTCATGCAGCTCAACGTCAGCAGTCAAGACACCGGATATCCGTCTACGAACGGCTAACTTCGCTTTATCAGCTAATGAGGCACTCAGGTTGCGTCCAAATCGTTCTTCAATGAACTCGACATATTCCCGCCCGTCCGGGTAGGTGCTAGCTGCCGAGGCTGAATTTGACCGTTCAATTTGTGTTGTTCCTGGAGTGATTCCACTCAGCGAGCCTTTGCCTTGATACCGTCTAGGGCCCTTGCAAGGCCTCTGGGTTGTAACTGGAACTCCAGACCCCTTCTCCTCGGCAAGAAACCCATCTTTTAGGGCACCTAAGCAGAATTCGCTCCGACGACTTGAAATTCCATTACCAGAGTGTGCCCAAACTTGCTTGGCGATAGGTGCGTGTTCCTTCAGGTAGATAACACATGACAGTTGCGAAGTGACTGTCTGTGACTCAGCGGTAGTGCGAGAAGAGGGAACATAATTGACTATGCGAATTTTGGAAGACTCCTCTGGAGAAACACGAGCTATAATAAATGAACGGCATATTTCAGCCGTTTTAGGAGATGGAAATAGAGATGCAGCTTCAGTTTCCGGATTCCCATTACGGCATAAGATCTCATGTGCGAGCTTCTTGATGCTAGGGTGCACGAAAAATCTTGGATACCCGCATTGCATATTGCTCACCACCCAATCCTCCCCTTCCTCATACCCAATACACGTTCTCCACGTTGGAAGTGAGACACTCACTGTCTTTTCCCACGGTTAGTAAATTAGTGTATGCGCGCGAGCTGTTGCCGAAAACCAATTTCATATAATAGAAGGACAAGCTGGAAAGATCATTGCAGCATATTACAGAAGTTAAATCCATTGCTTCAAGACCACATAAGCATGCCCAAATTCTGGAGGATTCGGCACGAAGGAGGGGAAAGATCTATAATTGAGATGCACCAACATACATGGTCTGTGTTCGGAGGAACAGGGCCTCCGACGAACTGGAGCATGACGGCAACTTGAGCTTAAGAAACAAAAAGAATCTAAGTAAATTCAAAACGGAAGGCTACTACGGCGTAGAAGAAGGGAAACAACGGCAAAAGAGAGGCATCCAAGACAGAAATCAATTCTGCAGCGATTTCGGAGGTCCATGACTCGGACTATCTATATCACGTGAACGATTCCGTGTCGGAGGTCGGAGTTTAGCCGTGGGATTTTTTTTTTCTTTTGAGAGAACTTTTCTGGACCGCAGCCTTCCCAAAATCGAGTTGGCGTCGGCTTCGCGTGCCGTCTGGCTTTTTTTGCTTTCTTCCAGCTGCCTGGACGCTGTCGCGGAAACCAGAGGGTCCGTTTTTGACACTTAGCAATAGTCAATTAAACCTCAGGATGTCGCCTCATGCTGCGAAGAGAAGGAAGCTTAGCTCTTCTCCAGAAGTTGACCAACCACCAAATCTCACCAGCCAGAGAAGCCAGGGACTGCCGGTCAATACTGATTTAAAGTATACCACAGCGAGCGGAGATCTGCCAACCAAAGATCTTCTCAGATCGAAGCCCTCAACGAATGGTGCAATAGTCAAGCGGGGAGATGGCTATCGTTCTGCGGAGCTGGCTTCTGCCACCGGGTTATACAAATCCAGTTTCTTCAAGCTGCAGATGGACGAGTTGCTTGCTGATTCGAGGCCAAATTATGATAGTCAAGGATCACGAATTCGCGATACTCTCCACAAATTGAAGGCGGCCATTGAACGTTTTCCGGAGAGACTGCCGAAATTGGCTGTTGATGCGGAAAAGGAACTACGCACAGAGCATGACATTGTCGTGCCATTCCCTGAACCACGTCCCGGGAAGGATACAAAATATTTGCTGTCATACGCTAAGCCGGTGAATATAAACGTCGTCGGAAGTTTCGCTCTTAGAACAGGCACGAGAACAGCAGAACCTTATGTGACTGATTTGGCTGTAACGATGCCAAGCTCGATCTTCCAGGAAAAGGACTATGTCAATTATAGGTATTTCCACAAACGGGCGTACTATATTGCATGTATCGCTGCGGCGATTCGAGAAACGAAGGACCTTGACCTTCGACTCAAGTTTGAAATGCATGATGGGGACAGCCTTCGTCCTGTCATCACTTTGGAACCTGTAAATTCCGGAGAGGACAAATCGGCGAGATCTAGGTCACGAATTCGTATAATTACTGCTATCGAGGATACCGTGTTTCCGTTGTCGAAAACTCTTCCAACGAGGAATAACATACGCGACGGGTCTTCCGAGGACAAATCCCAACCCTCTGCAGAGAAATCTACCACATTTTACAACTCTGCTCTTCGGTCAGAGGCTACGGTGGCTCTTTACCATAAGTACGTGTATTCGGCAGCTCAGAAGTGCGACTCATTCAGGGACGCTTGTATACTCGGTCGGATTTGGCTGCGTCAACGAGGTTTCCGGTCATCATTTCAAGGTGGTGGATTTGGAGGCTTTGAGTGGGCCGCACTCCTGTCTCTCCTGTTTGAAGGTGGAGGTCCAAATGGGAAACCTATACTTTCAAAGTCATACAGCAGCTATCAACTTTTTAAGGCTACGTTGCAATTCATTGCAGGGAGGAATCTAATTCAACCTTTGCAACTGTTTGCTACCGGAATTTCATTCCCGCAGGGTGGACCCGTCCTTTATGATGGTAAGAGAGGATTGAATATTTTGTATAAAATGACTCCATGGTCCTATGCTCTCCTTCGCCATGAGACGGTGATTACTTTGAAGATGTTGAATGACTCACGACATGATAACTTTGAACGGGTCTTTATTGTCAAAGTCAGCGAGCCTATGCTTAGGTTCGACCGGCTTGTCTCCCTCCCTTTCCTGTACAATGGAGAAGTATCCGAGGCAGTTCGCTGTCAATCTGCCATTTACGATGTACTGTCGAGGGCTTTGGGAAACAGGGTTAAACTCATCTTTCTCTCAAGCTGCGGTGCTGGAGCTTGGTCTGTTCACGCAAAACGTTCACCAAAGAAGACAGTCCAGACGCTGTTCGTGGGTCTTCTATTAGACCCCGAAAATTCTACGCGCGTTGTTGATCATGGCCCATCCGCCGAAGAACGAGATGAAGCAGCGTCTTTCCGATCCTTTTGGGGAGATAAGGCTGAGCTGAGACGCTTCAAAGATGGCAGCATTCTCGAAAGCTTAGTATGGTCTGATCTGCCTTCTGCGCCATCTATAATATACCAAATTCTTGTCTATATACTGCGCTGTCATTTTGCAATAACGGAGAGCGATATCAGATACATTGGTGACGCATACGACGAAAGACTCCGCAGCGTGGGCGACAATATCCTCTCGTACTCTGACCCATCATTCCAAACGATAACAAGTGCCTTCACATCTTTGGAAAGATCTATCCAAACCATGGACGATGTCCCACTAACAGTTAGGCAACTGTCTCCAGCTAGCCCGCTTTTCCGATACACGTCTCTCCAAGTCCATGCCGCGAGCAAACCTGTGGATCTTGTCCTTCAATTTGAGAGTTCTGGACGATGGCCAGATGACCTAGCAGCAATTCAGATGACCAAGGTAGCCTTCCTAATTAAAATAGGTGATTCACTGGAGTCATCAGGCGTTGCTTCGTTGTGCCGGGTTGGGCTGGAAAACGAATCTAGCAAGATCTTGAATAGTGCATTCTTGGACATTGCTCATGTATCTGGAATCACCTTTCGCCTGAGAATTCACCACGACCGGGAGCAGACATTGTTAGAGCGTCAACTAAAGGAGAAAGGCATTGGCTCTCAAACAAGAGAGCAGATAGCGTATGCTCTGTTCGCATACAAGCGCCTCTTCGTTCAAGCTCCTCGCCTTACGCAAGCAATTCGTACTCTCTGCACGCGATTTCCGCTACTATCACCGACTGTACGCCTTGTGAAACACTGGTTCAATGCTCATCTTTTTGCTGCACACATCAACGAAGAACTGATCGAATTACTTACGACGCGAACATTTACTCAGCCACAGCCGTGGGACACTCCATCAAGTGTCATGGCCGGCTTCTTGAGAACTATTCATTTTCTTTCGAGATGGGATTGGCAGCAGGAACCGCTAATTGCCGATTTGGGTGGGGAGCTTAACCAGCAGGATATTGAAGCGATAAACACTCGTTTTGCTGCCTGGCGGAGTATTGACCCAGCTATGAACAACATTACTCTATTTGCGGCGTCGGATATTGACCACGATGGTGTTACTTGGACACAATACGAAATGCCACCCAAAGTTGTCGCGGCTAGGATATCCACGTTGGCAAAGGCGACAATAAAATTGTTGCGAGAGAAGGGGGATTCTCTTGATGTGCACGATCTCTTCCACACGTCCTTAGCTCCTTACGACTTTGTCATCAATTTACGTCCCAAATTATTAGTCGACCGACCACTCCCTTCCAAGTTTAAAAATTTGGATAACCACACCACAGGCAGAGCAAGCAAATCTACTGCGCTTCGTTATTTCGTTCGGGATTTGCAAGCGTGCTACAACCAAAGCATTCTCCTGTTCCATGGGGGTGAGCATTGCAGCGTGATTGCGGGCCTTTGGAACCCACAGAATATGAAGCCCAGAGAGTTGAACTTGAAGATGGCCTACTCGACTTCTCCGGCATCCCCCACTGATTCAAGGGAAACACAAAAAGACGTTGTGAAGGTCAATTGCTCCGCGATTCTGAATGAAATTTCCAGGCTGGGTGGCACCATGGTTGAAAGCATCGAAGTTCACAGAACTGATACGAGCGAAGGTTGACTCTCGTCTTTATGTCTTTTCTTTTCTTTTCTTTTTTTTCTTGCCTTGAAAAATATCACTTTATGGCGCCGCTATAATGCCAACATATCATGAAATTATATCTACAATGTAAACACCAAAAATCATAAACCCCACACCCTTAAGAACCCGTTATAGCCCTCTCGGAATAACCTGCAGGCATCTGGGAGAACGAACAGAACTTGTCCTTGATCGCAACGACCTCGTAAGTGCCTTCATCAGAAGTTTTGATGGTCTTAACATGTTCGTAAGAAACATCATGTTTCATGTCAAGTATTTCTTGTTTCCTCCCCTTTCTGGCATTCGAACTCCGAATGTAACTTTTGAGGTAGGTTAGCTTGTTTCAGGTTTGATCGTGAGAGAAGGTTATGCCTTAGCCCTGCATATGGATGGGATAAAAGGAAGAAAAAGAAGACTTACGTGAATTCGAATGGTGGCGTGCCCCAGAACTGGAAGTCAATTTTAGCTTCCCCGCCTTCGTGTATATCGACGATGGATACCTGGCCGTTGTTGACTCTAACACTTGGCATCTCGTGTATGACCTTTTTTATATCCTTGTATGCTTTGCATTTCCCACTTGCTCCATCGCTAACAGCTGTGATAGTAAACTCGCCTGGCTTCTCTGCGATACGGCGGAAATTCGTGGTCTGAGAGGTGGCCTTTCTCTGAACCCCATTAAATGTGTAAAATATGTCAAATGGAGCATGTCCAGAAAGAGAGAAGGAAAGCCTTTCTCCGACGCAGTAATCAGCTTTAGACTCGAGTGGGATGATTGTTGGCACATCCGAGACGGAGACCCGAACTGAAGAGACGTCGTATTCAGTAATACGTTGGCATCCGCGAGCGTCTCGAACCTTGTGAATGCTGACGACATGCTGGCCCAAGTCCAAGTGACGCCGAGGAATGGGGAGTTTATGTCTCTTGGAATTGATATTTGGTATCGACACAACTTCTGGCTTCGAGTTCGAGTGGTGCTTGATAGTGATCTCCAGTGAAAATGGAGGAACCCCCTCGAAAGTCACAGGAATTAATTCGTCACCGGCCACATCTTCCTTGCAGAAACTATAGATACGACCCGGGGAATCGAACCGTGCAGAAGGAAGTGGATTGACCTGTTGCGTTACGACTACCGGCTTTTCCGGGCGATCATGGTCATAGAGATTGTCGCCGATCTCTGTAAATTGGTACGTATAATGTCCCGCATTAGAAGTATCCATTTCCACAGAAGCCACGTCCCGAGCTGTCCTCAGAGTCTGCACTCGAACGGGAGACGTTCCGCTGTTTGCTTTCCGCTGTTGCTCATATTTGACGCTGTACGGAGGGTTTCCAGAGAGCTTGAGCTCAAAGCTGTCACCGTCACCTTGGCATACATCTGGTTTCACGATTTGGCCCAACGTTCCAACTGGGTGGCCGTCGATCGCTGCTATCCTGGGTCGAGAGATCCATGATACCTCGAATGACTTGGCTGACCGGTCAATAGAACCAGGGCAGGAAGCATCAAAGACATCCTCGAGCTCGTAGCGACCTTCCTGTTCCACCGTCAAGAGGCTGTTCTCTTCCCAAAGCATCTTTGAAAAGGCGGGAGAATCGGAGTCGATATTTCTGTACCTGATTGTCCATGGTCGCTCGCCGCTCAATCTAAGCGGAATGTCGACTTTAGAGTTTTGCAAGGCTGAAACGCTCCTTTTCCTATCAATCTGTCCAAAGGAGACATGTGGCGGCTTTGACCGAGCGTAAATCTTGATACTATCTTCGAGCAATCTTTTGCAATTCGATTTGTCCTTGACGCTTGTCAGTACAAGATTATATTCTCCACCTTTGACAAGTCTTTCGGTCACGATGTTAGATATCTCGCTCCAGGATTGTAAAAGATGCTTTGTCTTTTTGCCGTTATGGACGAGCTCGTATTCCAGAGTCCACGGCGATTCCCCAATGAAAGAAACGTCAACAGACACCGGTTCACCAAAGCAAGCCTTGCGAATTTCTCTAGAACCAAGGAAACGAGCTGACGCAGGTGGTTTAACGTCCTGTTCCAGGATAGGTGCTTTATCCTTCAAAGACCTAGGTCCATAAACGGCATCCGCTATGTCCAAAAAGCGGTAGCGGTAGTGACCTGCATCAGCTGGCGTGAAATCAAATTGAGCGTGCGATCCTTCGATGGTCTGAGATAAGGTTTCAACGCCCTTTGAATGCTCGATGCTATACCGAAGACGAAACGGTGGCGAGCCGACCAGGTCCACGTCAACAAGTAACCCAACTGAGTTGTTCGCGCACTTATCAAAAATCTTCTCGTATCGGACGGCCAACTCAGGCTCGGGAGGATTGTGCAGATAGCAAGACGAGGGCTCCAGAACCTCTCCCGAGCAAAACTGACTGGAGACTGAATTGAGCGTATACCATCCAGGTTTCTTTATCGAAGGCCTGTGCTGTAGATTCTTAATGGATAACTGATGGACCTTGGCTGTCGTATAATCCACGTTCTCGTTCCCAGTGCTACTGGAGTAAGTAAGTGCAAAAGGCCCATCCCTGTCGTATCCTTGGCCAGCAGGGTGGAATTTCAGCGGCAGTTCCACACTTTCACCTCGCGCAAATTCTAAGAAGTGTCGGTCGTCGCATCCGGTGAAGGAGAGTCTGGGCCGTTCGTGAACAGAAAACCGGTGCCATGGGGACAAAGATTTCGCAGGTTGGCGATCCATTTCGTCCAGATACGCAGTGAAATTTGCTATGTTCCCGCAACCATCGTGGACTTCTTCAATTGTGTAAAGCCATTCGCCGTCAGTATTTAGAGACTCGTTCAGCGGAACTTCAATCCTTTGGCTCTGAGCCCATGCAATGTCTGGCTGCTGCGGGTTAAATAGCACTTTACCCTGCTTCTGGCTTAACAATGGAGAACGCAGATTATCCGGCTGTACATTCTGAAAAGAGAATCCGCGATCAAGATGGTTCACCTGCCTCCTGTATTTAATACGCAAAGGCGGCGTCCCTTCGACTTCCAATATCAAATTCGACAGCTCCCCTTTGCATTTATGCGATTGTAAGCCCTTAATTGATGCCGTGGGGCAGGAAACAACTAGAGCATCAGATAGACGCATATGAACGTCAAGTTCTGACTCATCTACTACCCTTTGAAGGCGATAAATGCCAGTCTTCTTCACTGGGAAAAGTAAATCGCGGTGAGGAACTTTCGAACCAGAACTCTTTTTATCCGCTTGACGCTTCATCTGCTTCAGCTGCTTCGACTGAATCGAGATCGTCTCATTTCGACCACTGCCGAAGTCAACCCGTAACAGCTCTATGAGAATAGGATTTGTTTGATTGATACGGATAGGTAGATTGACCGGACTATTTTGCGAGTCGATACAAATTGGTACTCGATCTGGGTTTAAGACTGAGGACCTGAAGCCGTATGGTCAGTAATCAGAGCGGTAGGATAAAGGACCGAGGTCAGATAACTCACCCCTCGGGCAGGATATGAACTATTTGCTTTCCTAATATTAAGGAAGCATTGTGGATTATATCCCCTGGTTTAACTCGCCGTTCGGATATTGCAAGCTCCCTGTCGTACATTATCTTCATCACCCCAGAGATCCATGCGCCGATGGGGATCTGGTCACAGATTAGCAAGATCTCTCCCTGGGCATAGTCCCCAAGCCAAATGCGGTACAAACCGGAATGCGAAACATTAAAAATATATTCCCGGCTACATGTAGTAAAAAGGCTGCGAGTGTCGTCGGAAACGCCCATTCCAGCCACGGTATGCGTAGGGTTTGCAAACCGAAGAGAAAAATCCCATCAAATGACACCCATTTTAAGAAAAGCCAAGTCGAATCCAAATCATCAGATGCGCTCAGCGATTCGTACACTCGCCAGGCATTGAATGCGACATAAAAAGCCACGACATAAAATCTCTGCGTCGGGGCGTCTAACACATCGATAGGGATAAGAGGCGAGTCCGAAGTCTGTGCTCGCGCAGAACGAGATTTCAACTCCGTGGCTGGTCGAGACTTCGGTCCCAAGGGAGTTTCATCATAGCTCCTTATCCCTCGGGTTGTTTGGGGCGTCTGAGGGAAGGCAGACCGTAGTCGGGGAGTACCGTTCATGGCATGCTGTGGTCGCGGAACTGATCTGAAGGTTCACCTTGTGAGAACGAATGCGCGTTAAACAACGAACTATCGAATATGAAGCAATGAAACAAGCACTGTATTTCCTGTACGATGAATCATCAGACTTCTGAGAGCAGGCAGCATTTGTTGGGAGTAGGAATGGCGATTGCGCACACCTTTCGCCAAGGAAATAAATGCAGGTGGTTTCTCTGCTGCACAAGGCCACACAGAATCCGAGTTGAAATAGTGTCCAGTTGCAAGTAGGGCTAGGGAAATGATTGTAGCTATCTAGCACTCTGGGATAATAATAGAACTATCCTTGGTAGAAGAAAAGGTCCTTTGTGACAATGGATGGTACGCGTGAAGAGAAAAAAAAAGTGTGAATGACCAGCCGGAGCTTGGGCCAAGCCTGACCAGGCATTGCGAATAATAATAATAGTGACGGACAACACCTCCAACTCATCACCATGCAAGCCTGTGTGTCGGACTGTGAAGCGTCTGCATAGATCAGTCCATTAAAAATAACCATATAAAACCTCGCATGGGGCTTAACTAGCCGAGCAGACGGCATTATTTAATGTCAATTTGAGTATAGGAACAGGAACACCCAGTTCCACACTGCTGATCTGTTTACACCTTCCTTCTCTCTTTTGCAACCTAGATCCATCTGGCATTGGGCTTTTCTTTATTTGTCATCCTAAACAACTTGCGGTGTTCAGCGACGACAGCCTATAGCCGATATGGACCAGCAACGGCGTTCTAAACGACGGCGCCTGGGAACCCCAATGCATGCTACGGAAGACTCCATCAATGGTCTTTACCAGGCAGCCACCCCTGAGGAGAAGAAGAACTGGAATGGATTTTGTGAGATTGAGTCGGAACCCGTAAGAGAATATGCATGTTCATCCTCCTGTTTGGCTATACGATTGATTCAAAAACTTTAAAGGCTCTATTCGATGTGATGCTACGCGAGTTTGGGGTAAAGGGAGTAAAAGTCCAGGAAGTCGTGTCTTTGGACGACGAGATGATGGCATTCCTGAAGTTGGTCTTAACTCGGAAAAATCAATCTCGGTCAATCATGGCTTACTGACTTTGCCTCTTTTACAACCAGCAAGCCCGTGTATGGCTTGATCTTTTTGTTTCGTTGGCGCGAAGATGATCCTGATAAACAGGAGGCTAGCTGTCCCGACGGGCTCTGGTTTGCCAACCAGGTTTGTGTGATTAAAGTAAGAACAAGTTGGGTTTCTCAGCGCTGACATTGCACTGCAGACAGCTGGCAATGCTTGCGCTAGCGTAGCGCTGCTCAATATCGTCAACAACATACAAGAAATCGATCTCGGTGAGAATCTACAGCACTTCAAGGATTTTACTATGCCATTTACACCCGCATTACGAGGGGATGCAATTAAAAACTTCGAATTTGTTAAGCGGATACACAATTCATTTGCACGGTAAGCCCGTCTATTGTATTGGCCATTTATTGCTGCTATCATGGCTCTGTCTGACATTGAAAATCAAGGAAAATGGACATACTGAACTCCGATCTGCAATTGAAGAACGAGGCAACTTCGAGGAAGCCTCGCTCAACAAAGAGCAGCTATGATCATGCCGACAATGATGCAGGCTTCCATTTCATTGCGTTTGTTCCAGCAATGGGCAAAGTGTGGAAGTTCGATGGCTTAGAACGCCAGCCTCAGGCTCTGGGTATGCTAGTGAGAGAACTCCAGTCATGACTCAGTAACGCTAACCGACGTTAAAAGGAGAATGTTCCCAAGAAGACTGGCTGGATCTGGTGAAACCCAACATCCTCACTAGAATGGCAGACTATGAAGAAGATCAAATAGAATTTTCCATTCTTGGTGTTGTCAGGGATCCTCTACTTGATCTGATCGGTAAACTGGCTGTCAACGTGAAGTGCCTTGAGATGGTTAATGGCCGCCTAGGCACGAACTCTGAGACCAACTCGGAGCCCGCCTTTGAGAATGCCGTTCTGGGGCCTGACTCATCATTTGATTTGACCAGGGAGGCTATTGACAACGCCAAAATTTCCGCGGACGAGGAGGAAATGTATCAGGCCTGCTCGATAGATGAGTTAGTACAACATCGACAGAAGCTCAGCATCGCTCAGCAAGAGCTCCGAGCCGCGATCCGGGAAGAACAGCAGTCGCATCGCGCAGACGATGACTATGCTACCGGGCGAAGGTACGACTACGGCCCCGCGGTGAGATGCTGGATACAGTTTCTGGCGCGGAAGAGGGTGATAGAAGACTTGCTGTGAGATGGTGGAAGTAGCAGTACCTTTTACCTAGGTAATAAGTACAGTGACGCGGCAAAAGTTTTGACACCCTCCACCACCTAACGCCACGCTAATTTACGCATTTACTCCCCCTAGCACCACCAATTCTAAGGCTAAAAACGATTTAAACCATGCCTCTACGTTCGGAGCTCACCCCAGCCCTCCAGGAGCGTATATGTGAGCTACATTCTACTGTTCACTGGGGATATAAATGTATCATAGTTATCCTTGGATTTGTCCCTCAAAAATTCGATATACAACATAAAGGAGCGAAAAACGGCGTGATGTTGTATCAAAATCCTTGATCTGGTCAACCAAAAAGGCTTAATGTATCACGGCCCAGAGCGCCCTATTCTGCCTATATTGATGAGGATATAACTAATGTATTTCCCGGTCGAGCGGGCCACCTGCTAATTCCTGCCCGCGGGCTAAATACTAGAGCCTCTACCAGCCAAACAATTGCATTTTTATACAAAAACTAATTGCTAAGGGGATTGGGACATCTAACTCTAGTATGTCCCTAAATATGACAATTAGAACACTGTGGTAGAGCTTGTATGTGTGGTCCAACTGCAGAAAGTGCTGGATCTTTAGGAAGCATATCTTGACCTTTAACAACCTCATTCTCATGCTGAAATCACTCTAAACCCTCCTGAATTGTTGAGCCTTTTGGAATAACTAGCTGTCTAGTAGAATGCTTTTGCTTTTGATCTTTCCATTCATTATTAGTGTGTGTCAGGGCCCTTGCCATGTAGACCAGGACGAGCACGTGAGCTTCCTTACTTGGATTAGCGTGGCGCGTGGATAGGAGTACGTCGTCCAGCTTCACGTAGATCTCTTCCTTTTTCCTTCCTCTTCATGCTTGAAGTTCTTGTTGATAGCTGCCTAGATAGCTGAATAGCATCCTATTCATTGTCTGGTTGAGCTCCATGACATAACTTCAAGCATCCACCTTATCCTTTTTGTTGCCTGGGCAGGAGTCTGATTCTCACCAACCACTGACTCACCCAGAGCTGAACTGACAGAGTTAACAAATTCAAATGAAATGAATCCCTAAACCTAAGAATAGAATGACTGATTGAATTGCCAAATGGCAAGACCTTCTGATACAGCTAGCACTGAACCAGCTGGAATAACCCTAAGCCTGAATACAGAAGAACTGAATTGACATAACTCCATTGTATTTAACAATCATAGAGAACTTGACTATATCAGCTTGAATGAATTTTGCAGATGAATGATTGCTGATTTAGAAGTCTTATTCAAAGATATTTAATCTAGATACTAGGATTATGAAGAAATAATTGAAGATTAGAAGGTCTAGATTATAGAGGCTATTATAAAGAAGCAGAAGATTACTGCTGATCTAATCTTGTTATAGCAGGAAGTTTAATATCTATAAAAAGAGTTGAATTAAGCTATAGCAGAATAAGATATTTATATTTAATAGATTGCCAGAACTGTTGCTGATAGAAACATAAGCTCCTAGGTTAGATTAAGTTTCACCACCTATAAGTCAGCTAAGCTCTCTGATCCCCTTATGCTCACTGATAAGAAGAAATCTTATTTTGAAGATTAGCTTCTGCTAATGAACTAAAAGCTTTCTGCAAATAGTAACCACTATGACACCCTAAAACTTTAAATTATGTATATAACAGGCTGCTATAAAGGCAAGACACAAAAGCATATCATACCTTAAATAAGAGAAAGAGCTCTTAGCCTTTATACAAATGCAAAAGACATTCTTAACTACCTAAAGACAATTTATGAGGACCCCAACCAGATTACAACAGCTAAGAATCAGTTCTGTCAGCTGTATATGAAGAATATTAATAAATTTTATAATTTTTTTTTTTAAATTCCTTTACCTTGCAGCTGAAGTGGAGGTCTCTAAAGATAATTAGAAAGATGAATTGTATTATCAGATTATAACAGAACTGCAGAAGCTGACCATAATTAAGAAATTTAAAAGAGGATTATTCTAAGAGTTTTTAAACCTCTACTCCTAAATTGCAGGTCACCTGGAAGCTATCAACTATTAAGCCCAAAGGAGCTGTACTTTCACCCTTACTAAAGCTAATTAGGCTATCTAAGTCAAGAAGAAAGCCACCCCTGGTACTTCACAATCTAATGGCACCCCCATAACTGAAGACCTGTAAGAACACTTAATAAAAAAAAGACAGTGCTTTAGGTGCTATGAGCAGGGATATTAATCCTAAGACTGCCCAGAGAAGTGATCCTAATTAGGATTAAAGTTTCTTAAAAGGAAGAAGGATGACAGCAACCAGTCAGAAAATATCTAATCTAAGACAAAGTCTTCTCCCTAGGTCATATTAATAGTAGCTTAGAAGAAGTAGATTTAGATAGGTTACTTGGGAGGCAAAATTTTACTGTACCTAGCCAGATAACACATAATAAAATTAGCATATCTTTATCTGCCTTAGCTGACATAGGAGCAAATGGTTACCTATTCTTTAATATATATTACACTACTGAAATTGCTGAATTTTTAAGGATTCTTATTTAACAATTAGACTAATTAAGTAAGATAAAAAGCTTTAATAGACAACTAGGCCCTTTTATTACTTATGTAATTGTGCTACATTTGTGGATTAATAGCTAAAGATTCCTTAATCAGCCCTTTCTCATTCTGGACCTTGGCCAGCATGATATGATTGTAGGGAGGAAATAGTTTATAAATTAGGATGTCTGGCTGGATGTGAAAAATCACTATTTGATTTGGCTTAATCAGAGGCCCCTAACTGCAAGGATCTAGGCCAAACAAAATACTGTTACCCCCAAACAAATTCTTAAGTGCCCAATACCAACACCTGAGCATCAGAACCACATGGAATACTGGGATAAACTGTGGAGGAGAAGGGACTGTTACCAACAACCAGGAACCACAGAACAGGATCATCATGCAAGCAATGGAAAAAGGATGCAGACAGATGCCCAGGAAGAGATCTGCCAGCCTACATCACACAATAAGAAGCTAGTTGATATTGCTATCATAGGAGCTGTACCCTTCTACTGGTACCTTAACAAAGAGGGAACTGAGGCATGTATTACAAGCTTGCTGGAAATTAATTAAATAATAGAGGAAAAACATGCTATGGAATGTGAAGCTGAGGAGATAGCAGATCAGGAACTTGTTAAACAGAAACTGCCAAAATGTTATCAGGGATATGAAGATGTCTTCTCAAAGGCTGCATCAGATAGGCTGTCACCCCACCAGATCAATGATTACAAGATTATACTGGAGGAAGGAAAAATATCAGAAAAAGTAGGCTACAGCCTTTTATATAAGCAATTAGCAGAGGAGCTGGAAGTAGCTTAAAGTTATATTGTTGATAACCTCTCAAAAAGGTTTATCAGACCCAGCATAGCACTATATGCTTTACCTATTTTAATAGCCCAGAAGCCAGGGGGTGGATTATGATTCTGCATTGACTACCAGAAGTTAAATTTAATTACTAAGAAGGACTGGTACCCTATCCCTTTAATAGATGAGCTGATGGAATGACTATCTGATATTAAGATATTTACAAAACTCAATATCTGACAGGGATTCTATAGGATTTGCATAAGTCTAGAATCAGAAGACCTTACCACCTTCTGAACCTGATATAGAATCTTTAAATATCATATTCTGTCTTTTAGACTAACTAATGGTCCTGCTGCATTTCAGAGATTTATTAATAAGATTCTTATAGATTACCTAGATTATTTTGTTACAGGATATGTGAATAACCTCTTAATCTATAGCCAGAATAAGGAGGAACACATAGAGCATATAAAGAAGGTCTTAGAACACCTTTATAGTGTTAGGTTACAGGTGAGCATCAAGAAGTGTGAATTTCATATTACACATACAAAGTATCTTGGTTTTATCCTAACTACAGAAGACATGAAGGTTGACCCAAAGAAAATAATAGTAATCCAAGGTTGGAAGACCTCTAGTATAGTATAAGGGGTCTAATCATTTTTAAGATTCTATAATTTTTATAAGAAATTTATAAAAGACTACAGCCAGATATCTAAACCCCTTTATAGGCTTATTAAAAGAAATGTCTTCTTTGATTAGGATAAGAATTGTGAAAATGCCTTCAAGGATCTAAAAGAACAGCTTTCTAACACCTTTATTCTGCACCACTACCATCCAGATTTTGAAACTAAATTAGAGATAGATATCTTAGATAACATAATGACAGGAGTCCTATCATAGAAGTATGATAATTAATAGCACCTAATAACATATTACTCTAAGAGTATGTCAGCTGCTGAAAAGAACTATGAGATCTATAATAAAAAATTACTAGCAATCATATAAGCTCTGCAAGAATGGTAAGCAGAATTAGAAGGACTCCAACTATAAAAATAGTTTAGCATCTTCACTGACTATAAGGCTCTTGAATACTTTATATCAACAAAAAAGCTAAATATCAGATAGGCCTATTGGGCTGAGTTCCTGTCATGATTTTATTTCATAATTTAATATTACTTTAAGAAATAGAACATATTTACTGATACTCTCAGTCATCTCTAAAGGAGTCCAGATACTCTAGACTGCAACCATCAATTCTAGATCCTCTTAAAGCTAGACTCCCTAGAATCCTAGGTTCACAAAGAGATCAGCCTATCCCCTATCAATCCTCAGATTCACATTATTGATTGGATCCTCCAAATGAACTGAGAGTCCCCCAAGCTAGAAGAATACTGAACAAAGGTAGAAACTGACCAAGATAGATTATAGGAGTTAAGGGATGGCCTGCTGCTTTGGAACAATCACCTAATAATCTTAGGCAATGACCTAACCCTGCGCACACACCTTTTAGATAAGGTTCATGGGCAAATATCCACAGCATATCCTAGATAAATAAAGATTCAGCAGCTAGTATAGGCTCAGTACTACTAGCCTAGCTAGTATTGAGATATTGAACAATATATATAGAACTATGCCAAATACTGAAGAGCTGAGAATTCCTAAGATAGGAAGCCTGAATTACTATAGCCATTACCAGTGCCTGATTACCCTTGGCAGCATATCTCCATAGACTTCCACTCCTTTCCTAAAGATAGGAATGGATTTGATGCAGCTCTAGTATTTGTGGACTAGCTTAGCAAACACCCTATCAGCATCCCCTGTCATAAAGGAACCACTGCAAAGCAGATGGTGCAACTATTCATTAAATATATGTATCACCAACAAAGGCCCCCTGACAGTGTTATATCTGATTAAGGTCCTTAGTTTATTTTCACCTTCTGGAAGGCATTCTGCCAAATCTTAGGAATCAAATTGAAACTCTCCACCCCTCATTATGCAGAGATGGATGGGCAAACAGAAATAGTTAACTAATATATCACAATACATCTACAACCCTTTATCAATCACTATTAGGACAACTAATCTGAATTCTTGTCTCTGATTGACTTTGCTGCTGCAACCTTTCCCTCTGAAACCATCTTAGCCTCCCTCTTCCTTATTGATTGTGAATATGAACCCCAAACCTTATTTAACTGGACCAGCCTCACAACCCTTATCTCACAGAATGAGAGGATTAGCAGGGAATAAGCCAAGAGGATGGCAGAGCAGATACAGAAAATATGGCTAACAGCAAAAGAAAATGCTATAGCTGCCTAAAAAT